AAGTCCACTCGGAATTAAAGACCAAACTTAGCTAGTTTGGTACAAGACTATTGTACCAAATTCACTACAGAAGTAACGAAACACCTAGGATATCGGACCCTAAACAATCACCAGTCACAATGAATGTATGTTCCTTTAGGGAAACTCCATACCTATTGGGCCTTAAACTCAATCCAGACTTCCAGTGTAGCTTGTACATACAATCCACCACTCTAGTAAGTACCTGACTCCTTGTACTATCCCCTACCTTTAGAAGGTTTCAGGCCAAAAATGGAGTACTATAGCCATATATGGGCACTGGGCAGGAACTGCTTAATATTCACTTTCCAGTCTGACAGACGAAACCTCGCAAGCATCTCATTGCTCACACGAACTACATTCCTTAGTTACACCAGTTCTAACTTTTATGGCTATATATAATTATATTTCTTTATTCCATATTTAAAATTTGCTAAAGTTATCTTAGTAACATCTAATAAGAATACCAGACTAAATCTTTCATACATAAAAATATTGTTTATTCACTTCTGGACTGTTAAATTAATATCAGTCTTGAGGTTGTTTCGTTTCAGTGACTTACCTCGAACATTGATCGTTTTTCTAGGATGGATGTGTTTAGGGGTATCAATATAATTTCCTGCCATCCGGTTTTTCTTATGTGTGTATATCCTAATTCATCTGTGTTGACTTCCTTTTTATATGTCAGGGCAACAACAAACATCTTTTGAGGTCCGATTTTACACCTGGTAGCTATAAGGGTACCTTCTAAGGCAACCCTTGATACACCTGGCTCTTGATGTTCTGATATTCTAAGATGTTAAAAAAAAAACATTTTACTTATAAATTATATGATATAGATTTTCTGGATTTTGAAAATAAACAGTAGTTTCTGATACCAAATTTAAATTTTGAGATTTGTAGATTTGATGAGAGTAAGTCTTGCACTTCACCAATATCAGTTTATTTTCTGCTCTGTGTTGTAGTATTCTAGTGATATGACCATGGTGAACTGAACTGATGAAACATAGAAAGGTTCTTAGCAAATGTCTTGCTCCTCCATATTGGATAAATTTTATCTTGGCAAGAGCTTAAGGATTTTAGTCAACTGAATAAGTCACATGTAAGAAAAGGAAATTTGATCACTTCTTTTTACAAAATAATCTGAGCACATGACCAATTTTATTAAATTTTTTTAATCCTTTCTAGCATATTTGAAATTTTGTTTAAAAATCTTGTTTTTCTTGCATTAGCAGGTGGTCCAAAGATTAGTATTGAAGTTTAGACTTTTTTTTTAGGCATTAAAAAAGACATTGTTTTGGAAATTCCTGCAAGATTTCAAGACTTATTCACAAATGAATGAAATTATTTTTAAAATTTTCTTCTTTTAGAAAATCTTGGTAAAATTTTTTTTTTTTTAAATCTATTACCCCTACTTAATTTTGAGAAATTTAAATTTCAGCCTTTTTATATTTATATTAAAAGCAGGACTCCTTGGAAAATTTAAACCAATTTGTTTTTGTCAAACAGAAACACCATTTACTGAAAATCTGCTCTAAATTGTAAAATAAGAAATTTAATAAAACTATGACATTATTTAATTAGTAAAGCTTTTAATTGATTTTATAAATAAGATATATTAAGGACACTAGTCTTAAAATTTTTTTTTTTTTTAGTAAATAATGAATTTTTACAATTGGTTTCATTTTTTAAAAAAATTTATTAGAAAATTTTATTCAATTTTAAATCTCTTAAAATTCTGTATTAATTTCAGCTCTTTAGATGGTATTATTATTAAGTGAAAATTCTATTTACTGATCATAAATGGAAAAGCTTAATAGAAATTATCAGACACTAATATTTTTAAAAGAATTTTGAATTTTTTTTGTATGTGTATAAATGTGCTGACTTTTGTCAGTACAGATGACCATACACAGCATTGTCAGAAAATAAGAGTGATAACTATAGTAAATTTAAAACTGTTTCTAAAATTCAATAAAATATCAGATTATGGAGAATATTTTCCTAAATTTTTAAGATTACCGAGTACTTAAAAATTATATAAAAAAAGCGCTCATGTCATTTTCTTCAATTATGTTTTACAGTCTCTGTAGAACAACATTAAGTCTGTGATTAGGTTGTCAACATATCAAAACAGCTACTGTCAGGTTAAAAAATAGATTTCTGCAATGTTTTAAACTTAAAGTAAATAATATTTGTTTAAAATCAGATTAATTAATCTTTAGATCAGCTAATATTCTTCAAATAAAGTTCCAGAAAAGCATATTTTATTTTTGAAAGATTTTTTAATGTAGAGAATTACATTGTGATGAAAGACAACTAAAAAAGGATGCTAATCAGCTATTTTAGAAAAAAACCCCCAAAAAACACACCCTTCCAGTCAATTTAGTTTTTGAAATACAGCAAAGTATTTTGCTTATTGGAAATATTAAATTTAGTCAATTAGCTTAAAATTAAATCTAAAATAGAAGCTTCAAGAAAGATTTTTCATTTTTAAAAAAATCACTTTAAACCTTAGGTATCGAATTTGTTGTGGAGGTCCCTACTATTAAATTTGTAAAACTCTTCTACAAAAATAACCCATGTACTAATAGTAATATGGAAAAGATTGAAATTTTTCCATAATATATGCATATTATTTATCATTCGCTCTAACTTGGCCCTGTGCCATACTAGGCTAATAAGTAAAAATTAAGGCTTATAGCAAATAAATTCACAATGAAATAGTAGACATATTACACTGGAATCCAAAAAGGCCTGTTTTCTAACTGAGTCTGCAAGTAACAGCCTGGAAAGTGGCTACTTTTGTGGGAATCCTACCCTTCTGGATAGAATGCAGTTGATGTATTTTAAGCACCACCAACAGGGAAAATTAAATTTGAGGAAGGTGAAAGCATGCGTATTTCCCATTGATGAAGTGCAATCAATACTGATTGACTGTTTTGTCAGAAGAGCTTGTATATGTAGATGCCCATCTTTTTTCTCTTGAGTAGAACCCTGCAATTTTCTGAGAAAAAATGTAAAAGCCCTTACTTGCAACAATGTGCAGGGTTTGACAAAAACCTCCTGGAAGTGTCTATGTACATTCAATATACATGCTTGAATGAAAGTGGTTTTGAATCCAATGTATCACTTAGGCATTGTAGATTTTGGCCGTACAAGACTGACCATAAAGGGTATGTTATATATATGATTTTTATCTAAATATTAGCTGATCTAAAGATTAATTAATCTGATTTTTTATATTTAATATATCTTCCTATATTTGTAGATAAAAACTTGAATATATGAGGCTTGGTCAAAAAGTATCAGGACTGTTGCTATAGTAACAGAGCTACAGTATGCAGATTGAAGCTGCTTGGCAAAGGTTGACCTTGAAGTCTGTTGCATATGCAGTTATAACCTTCTTGTTCACTTCTCTTGTTTATAACAGTGCTTGGAAGGAAAGTGTGTAGAGTGTGGTTGTCTCACCACACCAGAGGTCCCATCAGTGGCCATGAAGCAGTTTTTAATCAAGTACACATGCCTCAGGTCCGACAACCACCATATTCCCTAGATCTCACCCCTTGCAACTTTTTTCACTTTCCAAAAATCAAATCCCACTTGAAAGGAACAAAATTAAAAAATGAGGAAATCCAAGAGAATCACTATCCCAAAAAAGGAGTTCCAGGAATGCAGCTATCAATGGAATGACATTGGATAAAGTGTGTGGCTTCAGAAGGGGAACTATTTCAATGGAGATTGAATACTGAATTGACATTTGTATTGTGTTGTAGTTTTCTTTTTATAGCACCAGTCCCAATACTTTTTGATCAGACACTGTATTAAATTTTCATGCATAATCTTAATTTAAAAGCAAAACAAGTGAGAAAAATTTATTAAAAAATATATACAATTTTTTTCCATTGTAATGGCTCCATTTTCTTATTGTCCCTCTTTTATGGGAATGATTTTAGAAGTGAATCAAATTTGGAATTGAATATCTCATTACTTAAAACAACAATGGCACTTTTCTACCTTATAACTGGTTGTAGTTACAGCAGGAATGGACAGTAGTTAGAAGAAACTGAACATTCTTAACTGAAACTGGGCAAAAAAAATTCATACACAATCAGTTCAGGATAAAAACCTCAAATTTAACAGCTCCACTCAATAGATTCACAAATCTAGTGAGAGCAATTTTGGATCTAATTTTGTTGCATTCTTCCTTTTTTACTCAGCTTGAGATATTTTCCCCATATTTTGTAAAGAAAATGTACTTTTATTTAAAGTTCTTGACAGCACTTATTTTTAAGTTACACAAAGGAATTTAAAATGTGAAAGAAAAAGTTCTTGATGCTGAAGAACTAAGCAACAACAAAAGGGAAAATATAATCAAAGTTCCTAAATACAATGTCTGATCAGAATGTTTTCAGTCATTTTGAGTACCTTGAAAACCATTTGCATGGAACTTGATTTAACTTGCGAACAAGAGACCTTACTACATATGTGAACAGATCATCCCATGGGGTTACTCAATCTGCATTGAGATGCTGCTGAGTAAGCTTGTGTACTGTGTGACTATCATATTCATAATGAACAAACCAGTCAATTTTTTGATGTCTCATGCAGAGTTTTTGGCAAGCACTTCTCCCATGGTTCAAACTTGTCTTCCTCTGACTGGCTTTTCCTTAAACTAAAATAGCCATTGAAACATCATGGACAAAATTAAGGAAGATAAAGTGACAAGGTAGAAGATGGCAATCCTGAAAGAAGAGATTTAAGAGAGTCTGTTTTGAAAAATAAAAAGGATGTGTGAAGTCTCAAGGGAAATGCTTTGAAGGGACTAAGGTGTTACCGCCCGAAGTAGGTTATATTTTTTGTTATTATTAAGCAGCTGGACACTTTCTGGACTGAACATATATTCTGTTTTTTGGGGATTTTTTTTCATTTTTTTTTTTTTTTTTATTAAAAAAGACAAAAAGAAGTCAGCATGGACAAGGTCAAATTTCAGTGATGGGCCTGTCTTCAATATCATCCAGAAAGAGACAACTAAGGACATCATTGGCAAACCTGGGATGGTACTGACATGCACGGTCACAATCAGGACAGAAATTGATCTCACATAAAACTGGCTGCATTGAGCGATTTCCTGAAAAAGAGAAAATTAATTTTTTATTCAACAATAACTCATCCTATTCATGACAAATGAGAACAACACACCATAAATTCTTAGACTGAAATTTGGTGGAAATTATAAGAAAAATGTGAATGAAAACATTTCATGAACCAAAGAATGAATCAATAAAAGACATTGAAGAGTTATCATTACATTTGATGATATGACAATTGGGAGTTCAATCCTTGGTCTAGGTAGTACAGACATAGATTCAGTGGAAACAGGATGAGCAATAACTGAGCAGTGATCAATAAGACAAGATATCCAGACATGAATATCAAAACGGGAACAATCTACCCGCATAGATGAAATAAAGGGTTCAGTTTGAAATTCCCTGAAAGTTTACCAGATTGACAGATACCTGAAGAAGGCTGGAGAGTGCAACAGCTGAAATGTGATAATACTAACAAAGACAAGGACATCAGTCTGAATTGTCAATTCTCAAAAACAAAAAAAAAATGTATAAATTCCCTTTCATATGTTTAGGTTTTATAACAGTTCTAATCATTGCTTTTTTTTTTTTTAAAAAAATAGACATTGCCAAGAAGTGGAAGTAGTTAAAATAATAGTGCTGTCAATGGAAAAACCAACCTTTTGACACTCCATTATTTTGTGGGCATGAACGTCAAAGTTTGCCAAAAATCTTTCTTTTTTTTGTGGGGGCAAGTAAGTTATTCAGCAATTTTGATTTTGCTGAATAACAATGCCTGTCCTCATATTACAAATGTGATGCAGCAAACAATCAAAGAGAAGTGCTTCAGTATGCAGTGTATTCTACAGACACGTCACCTTTAAATGGTCACTCATTTCACTCTATGCAAAGTCCTTGCCTTTTTAGAGATTCCAAGATCAAAATATCAAAAGAATTTCCTAAAGAATTCATCAAATCAAAACTGGAATCATTCTTTTATGATGGAATACACAGTTTAGTTGCAAAGAGATGTAAGATCATAGGATGATGGAGAAATACATTGATGACTGAATAATGATGCTATGAAGGTAAAAGAATGAAAGAGTCTGTAAAAAAAATGCCAGAAACTTTTTGTATCAATCTAATAACTTTTGTCCTAAAAAAGGCAATTTCAAACTCAATTATTGACTCGATATTCATACAATGTTAAAAATCTTTAACTTAACCCTTTCTCCAAATATTTTATCTAATAATTACATATCTTTATCCAACTCTATCAGAACCATAAAAAAAAAATAAAAAAATAAAACTTGGTATTAATCCAAGCCCAGGATTGAACCTAGGATGTTTAGATCTTCATTTTAATGCTATCTCAAATGAACTTTTGTCAGATATTGTCTATTATTCTTAATTCTGAAGAAAAAAAAAAAAAAAGACCAAATATGAGAATTTTTTTTTTTTTTGCAAAGGCATCTTGGTCAAACCAAGGACTTTTCAGTACCCTCTTGTATTCCATATTGCCTACAGCACAGTGAGTTTGCCAAATGTGGGTGTGAGCTCCTCTGCACATTGCATTTTAAAAATTATCTAGTTGAACATTTAAAATACAGGGTAGAGCAGGTAAATGAGAAACAATTATAAAGAAAAAAAATCAATTGAAAAAAAAAATCCATTGATTTAAAAAAAAAAAAAAAATTAACAAAAACATTCAAGAGATTATTCAATTAAATCTTCCTCAGACTAAAGGATGGTCCCAGTGTGGCTTCAGATTGATTAATTGGCTATTTGTTTTACTAGCATATCAACCCCTGTAGGACATTTAATACTGAAACTGGATTTTTATTCAGGAATGTTTCAAAACGTTTCAAGTGGTTGTGAGGTTTTAAAATTATTTTCAAAATATCAAAAGTTGTATAGTTTGGGAGTATTTCAAAACATAAGTTGTATTGTTTCAAAATCCAAGCTCTATTTTTTATAGAAGTTGGAAGTATTTTATTTTCTTCAGAGATCCTATTATTCGGGTAGTAGGTACATTTTTGAAGAGCATGTTAAGATTTTGTGCTTGGTAATAGTTACTAGGTATTTTTTTGTGCTTCTTACATTCTATCAAGATATGTTTGAGTGTGAGAAATTGATTGCAGTGGATACACTGAGGTGTAGTTTCTGCTTTGAGCATATATGTGTGTGTCAAGTGTGTGCACCCAATTCTTATTCTGTTGAGCACTATGTCTTGTCTGCAATCAGCTAATGGTTCTATATTCTCCTTTCTTATTGTCAGCTGATGTTCATATAGCAAATTGTTTGTGAATATGTCCCAAATTGCTTGCCATTTTCTTAATGTTTTGTATAATTTTGTTTTTACCATCTGTATATGGGAGTTTGATGTTGGTTATTGTCATTTTTGTTGTCTCTTTTGCTGGCTTCAGTATTTCCCTTGATGCCTATATAGCTAGGAATCTAGGCCAATATTATTGTTTTGTGCTTTATTAAATGACAACAAGTTTTTAGGATTTCTTGAATATAAGCATGATTTGTGTTGTTTTCTTTAATTGCTGTTAAACTAGATAGGAAATTTATAATATTCTCAGGCTCCCTATCTTTTGAATTTTAAATAATTTTAGGTGCCATTGTTATGGTTTGAAGTTCAGCTGTATTGATGGATGCATTATTTGGTAGCCTGATTTGATTCTGAATTTTTCTGTTTGTGGCTGCTGCACCTATTCTATCTAGGATTTTTAATCCATATGTATAGAATGGTTTATAGTCACAATATTTGTCTCTTAATTCTCTGTATATGTTTTTGTTGATTGCATCTTTTTTTTATTTGTCAATGTTAGGTCTATGTGAGGTTTGGAGATTGTCCATAGAGCTACCTTATTTATTGTGACTGGTGTTATGTTATCAAGATCTTTGTTTATTTGTTCTAGCGCTTCTTTGGTTCGAAGACCAAACGAAGGGATGGTTGTTGGTTTATTTCTATAGAACTGGATATGTTGAGAATCATGTCTTTTGGTATGCTGGGTTATTTGGGTGGGATTATAGTTTTAGTGCATATTGGAGGTATAATTGTTTCCATCTCAGAGATATAGGTGGTTCATTGGTTTCTATATAAAGACTTTGTATGGGTGAAATCCAGAAGGCTCTGAGACTTAATCTTGGACCTTGACTTTGTATGGTTTGTAGTTTTTTAAGAAAGGATTTACATGTGGCAATGTAAATAAGGCATCCATTGTCTAGTTTTGATCTGATGTGTGACCTATATATTGTGAACATTACTTTTTGGTCAGCACTCCAGTTTTGATATTACTTTTAGAAGCTTTAAAAGACTTTTGGCATTTTTGTTTATGGTAATCAATGTGTGCTTTGTAGTTAAGTTTGCTATCTAGTATGATTCCCAGATATTTTATTTGTTGGATTATGGGAATTATGTGCCCATTTAATTTTAATTCAAGGTGATAGGCTCATTTTTTGCAGAAATGCATACAAACAATTTTTGTTTTAGAGAAATGGAATCCATTTTCATTTGTCTGTTTTTCTATCTTGTTTAAACAAGTTTGTATAAATCTTTCATGGGTAGGCATGTTTGGTGATGAGTACGATACTGAGAGATCATCTACTTATAGGAATTTTTCAATTCCTGTATTAATGGTTTTAATAATACTATTTATTTTGAGAATAAATAATGTAACTGATAAAATGCTACCTTGAGGTACTCCTGCCTCCTGCTTGTGTGTGTCTGATGTCGTGTTTCCATTTCATACTTTGAATATTCGGTTCGATAGGAAGATTTGGATGAACATAGCCATTCTTCCTTTTATTCCCATCTTGTGCATGTCTTTTAGGATACTATGCTTCCATGTGGTGTCATAGGCTTTTTCAAGATTGAAGAATATTGATACCACATGATAACCTTGAACAAAGCCATCATGAATGAAAGATTCTAGCTGCACAAGTTGATCATTGGTTCCTTGGTTTTTCTGGAATCCACTTTGGTAAGTAGGTAAGAGATTCTCCAAGAACTATATTAGTTGAGCATTTACCATTCTCTCCATTGTCTTACAAATGTAACTTGTTAGTGTAATGGGTTGGTAGTTTGTTGGGTTGGAATGGTCTTAGCTGGGTTTAGGAATTGGAGTGATGATAGACTCAAGCCATAATTTTGGAAATTTATCCAAACACCACATATCATTGAAGATCTGGAGAAGTATTAAAAGAGACTTTTCTGGCAGATATTTTAAAAATTGCTAATGGATTTCATCTGGACCAGTTGAAAATTTTTTCTTTTGTTTATGGAATCTTCATAGTAAAGAGAATATTGTATTCTTTTTTATTGTTTGAAGTGAATGTAAGTTTTTTTTTTGTTCATAATGTTTTTATATTTTTGAAATTTGGAAGTATAGTGATTTTTTTTATTTTTTTTTTATTTTGTTGCTTTTAGGTTAGCTATTTCTTTTTTTCCAGTGCATTTATCTTCATTTGTTTTCATTAAGTGGACTGTTTCAGTTTGTGATGTTTTTCCATTAATTTTCCTTCGTATGTCCCATGTTTTTATTTATTGGGGTTTTGTTGTTTAATTTGGAGATTTTCTAAGTTTTTCTTTTGGATTTTTTAATTATACGGCATGCTTTTTGCTTAAGTTTGCTTCTAGTTTTGTAGGTTGATTGTGGTTGTGTTGTGCAAAAATATTTTTAGCATTTTTTTCCTGGTTTTAACTTTTTCTCAGTATTCTGCTGTGAACCAGGGTTTTGATTTTGTATGTGGTTCAAAGGTAGATTTGGATCTTGTTTGTCTTGCTATTTGTGTTAGTAGGTTTGTAAAGGAGACTATTGGTTCATTGAGAATTTCCATGTTAAATTGGAACAAGCAGAGTTCATTGAATTTTGGCCAGTTAGCTTTGTGTAGTTGCTATTTTGGATTCCTTCTGGCATAGGCTTGCTTATATTTAGGATAGTAGGGGAATGGTTACTACTGCATCGGTCATTATGAAAGTCATTGAAAGTCCATAAAACTTGATGGGAACATATGGTTACATCGATCTGGTACCTGGATGTAGTTATTTGCACATTTGGTTATTAAGGATACATACATCAGATGATTCTAGTAGAGATTCTATAATTTTATCAGTTTGATTGGGGTTTCTACAGTCCCACATTTTGCTGTGTGCATTAAAATCTCTCATTAGTAGAAATATAGTGTGAAGTTGGCCAATTAGCCTTCTTATTTCATTCTTATTCAGTCTGTGTTTGGGAGGAATATAAATTGAACAGATAGTTATTGTTTGATAAATTGAAGTTTTTACTGTCATGATCTGTAGATTTGTATTTAATTGTAGTTTTTCATGGGGTATTGATTCCTTAACCAATACTGAAGTAACCCCACCACATTGGGTCTATTGTCTATTGTTGATACATTTATTTTGTGTTAAGTTTCAAATCCATTAAAGAAGATGTTATCCCCTTTATCCATTCCCTCAAGAAAGGTCTCCTGTAAGCAAACTATATTTGGATTGTAATCTGTAAGGAGTTGTTTGATTTCCTCATAGTTTGGTTTTACACATATCAATAGTATGATGCTTGTGTTCTGTTTGTCCATTTTAGTGGTAACTAGCAGCATGGCCTGGCGTTGCCTGTGCTTGATTCAAAAATCGTACGACTCATACAGCAATCGCTATCACTTGACTTAAAATATTTTTGCCCTTCCTTGCCTTTTTAAAGGAGTGCCCTTTGCCGTGCTGATGTTGCCACATATCTTTTCTTGCCTATCTCACACTGCAAATTTTTTCTAAGCTCTATACAAAACATTAAATCTGTTACTAAAAAAAGAACTAAACAAAATGAACACAAAACGACCAGCTTTAAAAAAAAGGACTCAGAACTGGAAAAACCGAATGAAAAAGAATGTTAACAACAAATACTTTTTCACACCCAACCCAGTTCTCGGAATCAGAATCAACGTTAAGTTTAAGCAAGTGTTTAATGGGCCAATTGAAGTAAAGTGCCATGCAGATTTAAATTTTTACCACTTGTGACGAATGCAGCTATCGATTTTTTTTGCATGCTAGTTAACATTCATGTCAGTCAGCTGTTGGCTCTCACGCTGGCCAATAGAATCTTCCTGCCTATTCGTGGTAGCTAACTATAGGCTCTCACTCTGGCCAGTAGAAAATGGCTGCAAACTACATGAAAACTGCCATAGAAGCATGAAAAAATTGATTATTTCCACTATCGATGGGAGTTTGGAAATGCAAAGTCAGTCTTGGCCTTCCCGCTAACTTGGAGCATGTGCATGTAAATTTTGGTGCAAATCCGTTGAAAATTGCAGCTGTGCATTCGTTACACACACACACACATATCCTGCCTTTTATAGATAGAGATTATTTTTATTTTTGAGTGGATCTTAAGGATGACTATGTTTTTGTATTAAGTATCCATATTTCCTTGCTATTATAAGATTTTTGTTTTGTTAAGTTATGCCATCTTGTTTATGATGTGTTGAGAGTGTAGAATCCATTTGTTCAAATTTTTCAAACTTCTTTGTCCTTGTTTCGTTATTTTGGGTTGGTTTTTGAGATAGGTCTATGTCTTTCCTTACTGATTTGTGTTTTGTTCTTTTCCTTTTCTTCAGTTATTGGGTTATGGTTTAATTTGGTCGTGAGAGATATTTCCATATTTGTTATGCTGGTTTTTAAGGCTTTAATGAGATTTTGCAATTCATTTATTAATGATGATAATTGTGTTTCTGTTTTGTTTTTTGTCAGGTTATTTCCTAGATTTTCATTTAGTGGTGTCTTGGCGATTTTTGCATAATTTTGTATAGAGAAAGAGGTTTCTATAAGTTTTCTTGCCTTTGGAAATGTAATGTTTTGAGTTATTTTCATTATTATTTCTTTTTCTCAGTTCTTGCGTACTTTACAGCTCTGTAATCACCATTGCAGTTAAAAAATTCTGGTTGATTTTTACATATTGTATCATCATAGTTTGGTTTGATTGCCCCACATCTTGCACATGTTTGATTTCTTGTACTGTACTTCTTTAGATGGCCATATCTTTGACATTTATGGCATCTTCTCAGATTTGGAGTAATGTAACACTATTTGGGTTGCTGGTAATTAATAATAATAATAATAATGATAACTTGGAATATCAACAAATATGGGATAATGAGAATAACTTAGCATAAAAAGGGTTAAAAAATATAAAGATAAACTGATAATAAAATCATTCCCAGAGAATTGAAATATGTACAATAGACCAGATGACTGTCTAAAAGAAATTCTCAGTTTGTGTGAACAAGTGTTGACAGCCTTCGGCAAACAATGCCTGGATTGGATATGAGAAGAATTGGGTTAACCTGAATGAATTCATTTGGCGGGATGTCGGAATGAAAAAGAATAACTTGAACACCTGCGGGATGCTGACCTTTGGCTGAACGGATTGTCACCATAGTGGCAGCTGCAAAAATTTCTCTGGGAAAGTGTCTCTTGGGTCAAAGGTGAGAAAACCAATTGCTGTGTCAATTCCCATATTAGATAATAGCATTTGAAACCACAATTTTTTTTTAATTAATCTCTGACCAAATGATAGAGGTGACAGGCACAGAAGAGCAATCAAGGAAGGATGAGGGGCTGCTTGCATCCACTGAAGGGTAGCAGGCACAGAAGAAACATTAAGGAGGTTGAAGCTGCTTGCACCCACTGGAAAGCAATGGTGGAAGATGGTAATAAGAGAGAGTAGAAGCTGCAAGGCGGAACAATGCCTGCACCCATCTCTCATGGGAGAAGGAGAATTCCCCAAAATTATAAAAATAATGTAACTTCTCAGGACCAAAAACAAAAGACTTTTGTTGGAAATCAGGGGATTCACTGAAACCCAGCCTACGTCTTGCCCCACACCAGTTTCTAGTTGGAGTCCATAAAAATGAATGCGTGAAAGCCATTCAGAGTTGCAGTTAAGACTTGAGAGTTGACAGTTGAGAGCTGAGAAGAAGAGCGGCAGAGGTCACTGAGAGATTTCACAACTCCTGCTGAACACAAGAACCTATGAATTCAGCATTGAGCCAAACTTACCAAATCAGTAAACAAATTTTGCTAACTCCGCAAGCCAAAACTTACCAGCTTACCCAAGTGTTGTGTCCGATTTAGTTTGGTTGACAAACACCTGTATGCGAACACAATTACTAATGAACTATTGTACACAGTATTGATATAAAATTATTTTTTATCTATTTCGAGTGCTGTTTTTTTTCCAATTTTATTCTACGACTTAGCTCGACTTGAACCAGATCAACACAGAAATACCTGCGACAAATTGATCTTGGCCTCCTAATAATCAAATCAATCACAATTTGGGGATAGGCAGGTCAGGATCAAAGAGATCACTGCATTGATCAAACCATGATCCATTTTCGGCTGACTACAATGTGATCACAAGACTGGGTCACCCTTTGAGCATGAAAGTCGCAACATCAGTCTTTAAAATGAGTTTATAAATCGTCTTTACATGGACATTACATGTGTTTTTATTTCTTGTATCAGCTGCCATATTAATGCTTTTGATGTCTTAAAGAGAAATGAGAATGACAAAACTTAGTGTATACTGCATGATAATAGATGTGACTGTCTTCCATTTATGGCTGGCTGAAAAGTCGGTTCTCAAATACCTGGTACAGCCTGTAAATTTTTTTCTTTAGTGTCACAAGCAGGGAATTTAGGGAAATGAAACAGTCACCCTAAACTTTTGCAGGGTGGGATGAAAGAATGCAAAGGTTAAATGCTGATGTTGTTTCTTACCAGAATCATCTTTGGTCCATTTTAGCATGAGGTCAGCTGCATACATTGCTCTCGAATTAGGGGAGGGAGCAATGCACTTGGGGTAAAGCTTTGATGTGGCAGCCAGAAAAAGAGAGCGAAACATGGCAAAAATCTTTTTCTGAAATTTGAAAAAAAGGGTAAATTATTAATTTTTAATTGGAATTCTTATTAGAATTAGTTACTTATTAGAAATAGTAGTACAAATTATTTAGTGGTAAAAGAAAATTTTTAATGCAATCTAAAAGTGAAAAAGATTGACTGATTGATTTGTTTTCTACAGTTTATCAACACTTAGCAGGTTATTTAAAGCCAAAAAGTATTTTTACATTGTAAGAATTTTTTTTTTTTGAGATAATGATTTAGTGATACAAGTCTTACTTATTAACCTATAGCTGCTGGAAGAAAAGGTGGATTCATGCCTTTCCCAAGGATATTTGCATATAAGTGAATATAACAAACTCAACAGGACCCAATGAAACTCAGCTCTTCGATTAACAATTCCGAGTCATTATCCATTACTCCACCTTCACATCCAAGCATACAGCACCAGGTATTCCTAAGCAGTCACCCATCTAGGTATTGACCAGGCTCGATGTTGATTAACTTCTACTAATGTATGAGAACTGGTGTTTCAATGTAATGTTGTAAGGTCAAAGAGAAAAGGAAAAACAGGAATGGTAAGTTGGTTATTTAGTGAACAAAATAACTGCCAATTTGCATTGGTGATGGAGATTTTTAATGGTTAGGGAAAGGAAAAAAGATGAAGGAACCATTTTGATTGAATTAGTAAAAGTCTATAGAGATAACTTGACAAGAGCAATCCAAACAGATTCATCTAAATGAATTTCATGTGGGTAGAAATAGAGTTTTTTTTAGGGATGATCGATCAAGACAATAACACACTTGAAATTTATAGAGATTTCTTAACTTATTTAGACAAAAAAATAAAACATATTTGACACAAAGTCACTTACCTCAGTTTCTTCCCAGCCAAACTCTGGATACTGATTGTTAAAAATTGGGATGAAATCATCATAATGAACCTAAAAAAAAATACCAAATATTTATTACTACCTACTTCTAGGTAACATTATAAAAAGTATGTGAGGAGGAACGGAGAAATGGGCTGGAGTCAAGATACTTTATGATTGTTTCAGCCTGTGAAAAAAAAAGATATCTAAGTCTACATACCCAATGTAGACTTAGATATCTTTTTTTTTCACTTCTATTAGAGCCACAGATAAATATATGCAACAAAATCTATCTATGTGGCAGTGCATAAACACACTAGTTTAAGAACCATACTTAACTCCAATGTCATTGTTGGATGAAGACTTTATTGTCTGAATTTATTAAAGTGTGTTTGTGTTGCAGTAATTCGTAAAATACTATCACAAAATAAATAAATACAAACATTTTAAGAGATGGGGAGGAGACAAAGAGAATGACATGAGAGGGAAGAGAAACTGAGAGAGGGAAGAGAAACTGAGAGAGGGAAGAGGAAGAAAAAGATGCAAGAGAGAGGAGGAAGAGAAGTGTGAAAGATATAAGAGGGAAGAGGAAGAAAAAAGAAATGAGGGAAAAGGAAGTAAAGGATATGAAAGGGAAGAGAAAAGTATTCAGCTTGAACCACTTCCCCATGTCTGACCAAATAACCAAACATCATAATCATTTTTTGCATCCCTTCTTGGTTGAGCTGAAAACTTTTCAGTAATGTTCCTCATAAAAGGAGAAGGAAGCTTTAAAAGAGAATGGGGAAATTCGTAGGAGAAAGTTTTAAAAAGGAAGAGGATGTTTACCTGTCGAAGTGGAAAATCATCTTCATAGTTCATGACAGTAAAATGTTTTTCATAGTCATCTAAGCTATCCAGAGAGTAAGGCCTAAAAACATTAAAAATATTTTTTAGACAAAAAAAAATATATATATACATATATATATATATATATATATATATATATATATATATATATAATATATCTCATCATAAAAATTAAAATTTAAAAAAAATTAATTTTGTTAATAAAAAAAAAAAATAATTTTTTTTTTTTTTTAAAAAGATATTTTCATGTTGATCTTCCATGGAAGGAAAATTAATCAGGTATTAAAAATAATTGTTTTTATGAATTCACAAGGTTTAGCATATTTTGACACAGGGCTACAGTAAAGGAGCAATCATCAAGGAATTACTTTATTTTCAGTGCTCTATGTCAGATACACTAATCTTGGTTAAAAGACTATTAAGTAACCATTATAATGTCTACCCCGGCTGCTCTGTATTCAAGTTTGATACCCCCTTGGCTGATTATAGAGTTGATTGATTTGGCCCAAGTCTTGTCTCGCCCCACATTGTGTCAATTGATCAAAAGATTGGTTTGGTATGGTCAGAGTAAAGTCATACAAAAGAAGAAAAAATAAATTTGATAAAAGAAAAAGAAATATTTATATGCAATTCCTTGATACAAAATTGATGGTATAGTTATTGATGGCTTAAATAGGCCTATGTTCTCCATGCAATAACTATCGACCCTTCCTGATTATCATGACACATTGTTGTTATGGTTTTGAATGAGACTTTTGGAACAAGGCTTTAAGTTGGAGTCATTTTCTTCAGGGTGGCAAATTATGTGACGGTAGTGCTTGCCTCTCAGTTCAGTATCACTTCTGCAGCCTCTCTCTGCCATAGCCTCTCAGCATTCTGCTTTTATTCATTTATTTTTTTTTTTTTTACAAGGGGTGGAGTCGGGTATGATTTGCTCTGGGAATGCCAGCATTCCCCAAACAACCAATCAGGATTCTCCTTGCAAATTTCCAAATATGGGGGAGTCCCTCCTCCCTTCTTGGAATTCCACCTGGGCCCTCTCCTTCTTTTGGTTATCTGATCAAACCTGTCTCCTTCCTGCTTTGTGTTGAGTGCCTCTCACCATCATTGCCTGAAGGGTATGGAAAGTCCTTTGCCTTCCATGAAATTCCATCTGGGCCCTCTCCTTCTTGGTCACCTGATCATCTCCCAAGGGCTATTCCTGGTCTAACCCAAATGGCTAAATTCTAATTATCATTCAAAAATTCGTGCTTTTGTGTGTAGTCATTTTCACATCTGAGATTTATTATTTTTCTTATCCCCTTGTCAACCCTTTGACCAACAAGTGACAAAAAGGGAACAATCCCTTGATTTGGGAAGTTTTATTGCATTTTGGCAATTTAATTATCATTCTTTACATATGTTCTTTTGGGAAGTGGTCTGCTTTTAAAAGTTAATCCTTATCAATCGACCAAACTTGCGACCAGAGGTCTGTTTTCCTCTCCGTCTCTCAATGGGCGTAAAAATATTATCTATTTCTTTCCGGGAGGTCCTTGGATATATCCTTTTCTTTCATTTTCCCACGTCTGGTCATCAGTATATCTTCAGTCTATTGGAAATTAGTGTTTTTCTGCCTTCTAGTTTTTTTTAATTTACTAGCACCTTTCCAATAGTGTCACAACAATTATCTATTATTAGTCATAGAAAGCAAAGATGTAAAATGAATTGAAGAGAAAATAAAATGAGAGAAATTTGATGCTGTCTTCTAAGAATCACTGAGAAATCATTGAATAAAAATTGAGTGAAAGTTGGCTACCTGGAACCAAGTTGAAAATTTTCTTTCTTACTCACTTGTTTGCAAATCTTAGCCAAAAAATGCGATAGGCATACAACTTGAGGGGGCTCACACTGGACAGCAATAAAATGTATCGAATGTCAAACTTTACATCACCAACATCATCAAAGTGTATAAGTACAGGGTTTTCAATATATTTGCAAGCAATCTAAAAAAAAAAAAAAAAGAAAAAAAATGTTGGCAATCAAACAGAAATAAGGTGTGCAGTGGTTGGGGTGGGGTGGGTTGTATGCGAAAGAGGAGCAACATACTTTTCTATAAACAAAACAGATATTTGCATATTTACAGACAGGCTGAAACTAAGATTTTCACTGGATTCTATCATGATCTCCATCGGGAGATCACATTATCTTCTAGATATAACTTATGGCAATCTTTAACCTTCATACCTGCAAAAAAAAATAAAAAAAAATGTTGTGTCAAAACGATGTTTTTTTTTTCATTGACACTGCTATTATTTTAACTACCTTCACTCCTCAACAATGTATATTGTTTTAAAAAGCTATCATTAGCATTGTAATAAAACCTAAACATATAATGAAAGTGAATTTATACATTTTCTGTTCTTGAGAATTTACAAAAATAATAAACACTTTTTATCAGATTGTTTATTTACAAGAATAATGTTATATCTACAACATTCTAAAAACTAATTTTATTAAAACTCATGCAACACAATATATTTATCATTTGCCAATTTATAAAGAAATAAAAATGAAAGCAATTTTTTATTCATAAATTTATGATTTACTAAATTATAAAAATATGTGAACCAATTAAAAGGAAATAATTATTATTTACCATTTTATAAAGTTTGAACCAATTGGCAATTATCCAATGTTTTTTTTTCAATAAATAAATAGTGTAAATAAACAATAAATAGTGTTTATTATTTTTGTTGTTAATCCTCAAGAACAAAGAAAATGTATAAATTCACTCTCATCATGTTTAGGTAGTTAAAATAATAGGGGTGTCAAGGTAAAAAAACATCCTTTTGACACACTTTTTTTTTTTTTTTTTTTTTAAAATTGTCTAACTTACTTTAGGTTATACCATCCTGGATATGGAAGTGAACACAGCCAGAAAAAATAGTTAATATTTTGTTCTTGCAGCATTAACCTTTAAGCTTAAAAATTTAGGAAAATAAATTGCATATTATACAGAAATAATTATGTTATGTATTGTATACACCATAATATGTTTTACATTATAGTGAGTATACATATAACAAAAATTTTCAAGTATTAACAGAATAAAATGAAATGAGCATATAAAAAGACTCAGTTAATTCAGTCTCATGTCTGATCAAAAGAAGTTAGATTGCTTATTATTATTAAAACACTGATGAGAAAGATTGGGTTCCTTCCCAAAGCCACCTACCTTGGGTCCAGATTCTCGGAGACGGATAATATATGATAACTGATCTGTTATGTGAGTGTCTAGAGCCCGAGCCAAGTTCCAGGGTTTGCAGATCCATGTGTTATTAAGATTCCTAAAAGGCAACAACAAAAAGTGATAAAAACAGAAAGCATTGAATAACCCTTTGAATACTTTTACTTGAGTCAAAGGTAATACATGATTTTTAATTGCATCAATATATTTTTGACCCATTTTTACCTGATCATGCCTGAAGCTGTATGCTACACTTAAGTTTTCTAGTGATTACCTGTTAAGAGGAAAAAGCTTTCTCCCTCAGAATTCATCAGTTTTTTTTAATAATTATTTATTGGATCATTTTTTAAGGAAGAGAATGTATCTTCATATCCTAACACTTATTTTGTTTTGTGTATTTTTACTATTCATTTTCTATTGCTTAATATTTAAACAATTTTAACAGCAACATTAATTTTAAAAAATTGGTTTTATATATCTTTGGCAATTATAGTATTTATTATATATATTATTTTCTATTATTTATCATTTAAATATATTTTATTATAATAGTAGTAATGGCATATTTGATCATCATTTATAAGAATTTGTAAGGGATAGTAAAGGGAGTTAAGCCTTTTACCAAAGATCAACCTTGAACTTGAAACCCTTACTAATCCGGGACTCTGATTAGCTAAATACTGTCCAGTCAGGATCCTTTCTTGGGGTCACATGGTAAATTTGATCCTGAAATCCTTTTTTTGGCAAGTAAAAACTGTAGTGACCACACATCTATTGGAGCTGTCCTTTTCCAATGTTAATGGGATATAGATGCCACAAGAACACAAATCTCACTTGTTCCTTGGACACTCTCCTAACAGTTAGGTCTGCAAATATAAATTATATTTACAACCCTTTTTTTTTCCTATTGTGCATACATCCCTCTGTACATTAAGCCTGTTGAATTTAATACTGTCGTTGAGTTACTTCTTCTCTAAGTGTTTTCATCTTTGACTTTGTGGAATTAACTGCACCGTAGAAAAATCTTTAGATAATTTGCTCCAACATTCCACATAAAAAATATTGTGTGTATCAGGGAGGGATAGCACCTCTGACACAGAAACAATCGTATTACTTTGAGAGTAGCTCATCTGCATTGGTTGCCACCTAGTGTCCAACTCACACCTGTGGCTCCAAATAGCTGTTTGCATGCAACAGTGGTCACATCCTATTAAACTCCTTCGACCAGCAGGCAAACCAGGTGAGGGTTGTCAACATTTCTCAATAATTTCATGTCTGTCATCCCTATTGTATATGAAGACTGATTACCAGCAGAGTAGGCAAACAAGATCTCCTACAGATCCAATGGCCATGAAGGTGGTGTCAGCAAGTGTCGTGGTATGCATCAGAGCATGGACATGAAATCTGCTGCAGCCCAGAAGTTTCTGGTTGTAAATATTCCTCATGCCACCAGATAGACTCCTCGGGCTAAGAGAGTGGAATAATTCCAGTGCAATGATTTTCTCACTATAAATTCTTACTGCACAGGTCTGTTTTGAAAAATTATCCAGATACACTGATGAATTGTAATACAAAAGTCTTCTTTGGACCCAAAGGGCAACCATGATTATAATTGTTTACAAATGTTAATAAACATCAAGTTTATTATTATCATTAAAGTATTAGCACTGGTCTACCACTATAGCAGATAAGTGTAGGTTAAGTTCAATAAACCGTCAAGTCAGTTCAGCAAGTTCTTTGATCTCAGAATGTTAAACTGGTCAGCATTTTCCTAGTTCAGCAAATAATGGTCCCTAATTCTAACTGTCAACAACAATGATTTCTCCAGAACAAATTGGACCAGCAATTTTCTCTGCCAGCTGATATGACTGGTGAATTCTGCAAAAATGTCTTTTCTGCTCAATACCAACGTGTATTTTAGTATTTTTATAATGTATTTTTTGCATAAGCCTATGTCTTTGATTGCAAAATACTATTCTTCTTGGTAAGGATTATAAGTATATTAAGGATAGTAAAGATTATTGGTTTGCATGAACACAACTTCTGTGAACTTGGTACATGGACAGTACACATTTATGTGTATTCACATTTTTTTCCCTGTGTTAAGGTAAGTTTTATTATTATGCTAGTTTTATTATCATGCAACCAGCTCAATATTTCTTATGTAGTATTGCCTCCTATTTCCATTACAAATAAAGATTTTTTTCTTATTGATTCCTTTTATTTTCTTCTTAAGAAAACAGCAAACAATTCCACAATTAGCAATTATTAGCCTAGAGTTATCTCCATTAGACAAACATGTTTTTGTTTATACTTGAAAATTACTAAGTAACTGGTGGATTCATTGGAATGGAAATTGCTTAATTCTCTAAGTTAGAGCAATTTAATTGTATTGCATTGACAAAAATTGCCCTAAGATTTGCCATTTTTACTGTGTTACAGCAACAAGCATCCAACCAAACATACAAAAGTCAGATCATTACAATATAAATTCACTAACTTGAACTAATATTCTTATTTCGTTGCTTTAATTGTTACATTTTAATTCACTCTCTTGCATTTTTCAGTGTTGTCTAAAATTTTCAGATGAGGTAGTCTTGATTATATGATAAGTTATTTGAACCATTATCATAATCTTTGTTGTTTTTACTACCCAAAATGTTATGGCAAAACCAATCTAGAATACTAGATCAAGTCCACAATAAATTTCATGTGTTTTTTTACAGATATTATTTGTTGCTTTTCTTGGGCAATTCCACTCTCCCACAAAACATATTATATTTTTTTTGTTTTAAAGGTTTTTGAATATTGTCCTCATGGATAAAAAGTGAAAATTTATTTTTGTAAGGAAAGAGAATATATTGTGTTCTATGGAAAAATGTTTTAAAACAAGCAAGCCTTTTATTAAATGATTAGTGTACCTGTGTCATCAAAAATGGCAGAAACTGTTAGAAAGTTTTAATAGTGAGATACAATGAAAGAAAATCTTGAAACAATGTATTGAAATTTAATAAAGTGGAGATAAAGAATTAACAATTAAAATACAGCCCAATTAACCATTTAATTAATCTGCTCCCTTTAGTTTTTTTTTTAGATGTTCACTGGTAACTAAGATACATTGATTACTTCTGGTATGATATAAATTGCTTTTGGCTCAATATCTATTCATCTTAAAATGTTGTGTGTTTAATATAACAGTGATATGGAAATATCTGTTGGAAGAAACATTATAACAAAGATAGTGACGACAAAGCCTATTTCAAGACCAAGTTGAAGCAAGATGATCACTTAATAGACAAAGGTATCTAAGTACCTCACATGAAAGGCTTGAACAAATAAGACTGCAATATGTTATGAAACATAAAAGTAAAGGAACAGATTAAATGGTTCATTTTACCCAGGACCTAATTTTGTCTAAATGCTGATAAATATTTTATTTGTATAGATTATTAAAATGACTAAGGGAAGTAATGATTCATAAATTTACTCACTCAAATTGATTTACTGCCCTTCCTATTATAGATGGGACAGGAAATATAAAAATACACAGGAAATATATAAGTAAATACACATTGAAAATTATTATATGGTTTGATTGCCCTTGTATTCTTTTAATCTTTTTATTTTCATTTTTTTTGTAACTGTTTATTTAAAAACTAACTGAATGACAAAGTTTATGTATATAAATAGATAGAAACTTGTTAATGTTTTTTGTTAAGAGTTTAGCTTTTACATATTTACATAAAATGCATAAATAATTTATCAGGTTGGAATAAAAGTTCTATTCAACTTTTGAGGTGAAATTGCTGAACAAAATTTATTAAAGTGTTGCCTTTTATAGTGTTTAGTAATGCTACTAGGAGTAATTTATATCATTTATTTCAGGTTATAAGAATATTATTCATAATATATTTCGGAACTTGTTTGTCCCAACTGAAGAACACATTAGAAATGTTTTAATTTATGAGTTTCATAAAGGCATCAATGCAAATGCAACAGCAAAATGCATCCAGCATGCTTATGGGGGTTGGTCCATTCATTGAATGAAAGAATTTGTTGGAGGTGGTTTTCTTGTTTCAAAATTAGAAATTTGAGTCTGGAGGATTAGCCAAAAAGAACAAAAGAAATCTATTCAAAGCATTTGGAAGCTGCAAATCCTTCCACTATGGCTAGATAACTTGGTGAGAAATTTAATGTTAAGTCACATAACAGTTCTATGGGAATTGACTGGAAATGTTTTCAATAGTTGGAAAATGGATCCTACATGACCTGCCTCTGGAGAATTGCCAACAATTGACACAATGTGAATCATTGCTTACACAACTTCAAGTGCCCCTTTTTGGATAGGCTTGTTACTTATGATGAGAAATGTTAAGTACTGTCGACAATGGATCAGTCAAAGAAACAGACCTGCTCAGCAACTGAGAGGTGAACTTCATCCAAAGAAGATCATGTTGCATATGAGGTTGGATAGTCAAAGAATCATCCATTATGAACTGTTAGACAATAATTAAAAAACCAATACTGATCTCTACTACCAACAACTTTGTTGTTTGAAAGTAGCTCTGGACAGAAAAAGTCCATCCTTAGACAACAGAAAGGGCGTAATAAACCTCCATCACAATAATGCTTGTCCTCACAAAGATCTGTTAGAGGAGTTTGGTTGGGAAATTGCTTCATCCTCCATATTCTCTTAACCTTGCTCCTTATGATACCATGTTTTTAGAGATTTGCCATTTGTAAGTTTATCCACTCATTAAAATTTGGTTCTGACTGATTCTGTTTATTTTCTTAGATGTCTCATCAAATAAAAAGAAAATATCACTTCCATTTTACAATGTTCTGAAAGGGATATGAATAGGCACTGAAATATTAACAAAATTATCCAGGATTTCTTATTTGTTAATCAAATATTGATTATTCATAAATATGTTTTTCAGAGCTACTATCCATTTTCAAAGCAAAAAAATAAATAAATAAATAAATAAAGATTTAGAAAGTCAAGAATTGAACCAAAAATTTTATCAAAATGAAAAATATGATATCTAAGCATTGTTTTTTTTTTTTTTTTTTTTATAACCTGGATGGACAGTGTTAAAATTTTACTCATATCAGGTTAAATAAACACATTATCCTACCTTTATTTTGGTTCAAACATCTGAGTTTTAGGCACTCTGGGGAAAATATGGATCTTTTAACCTCTTTCCCACACATCCCCATTCATTAATGAAAATGTAAAGAAACTGGAGAATAAAAACAATAATACTTAAGAAAGAGACACGTGTAATTTAAAACTCTAAAAGTTCCACCAGTAAAGTGGCAAAGTTGAGATTTGGATATGCAGTGCCAAAGGAGGAAAACAGCAAATATAAAAACCCCTAAAAATCAAGAAATTAAAATTTGGTATCTCTCTTCCTCCAACACAATCAAAATTCATTTGAAATTTTCCAATGTTCATAGGATATGATATTTAACCAATAGAAATGGAGGGTACACTGGTATGATAGGAAAAATAATTACAAAAACGTCAATAATACCTTTTTTCTCTCTGCTGGAAATAGGATATAAATTTTGGCAGTTCCGTGTTGATGTTGTATGTGACAGGTAACCATGCTGGACCATGTTCAAAGTTTTCCTCATCTACACGATCGGGGTCAGACCAATGGCCAACAACGGCAATTAAATCTTTGAATGTGATGACACATTCATTTGGAAACTGGTTGATCAGCTTTTCAAGGCCGCTAGAATGAGAAATGCAATGGATTTTACAAAGCGAAATACAGGGTACTGAACAAAAGGAAAGATAGCAAATTTCTTTTGACAGTGCTGTTAAAATTCAAAAGTAGAAAATGTGAAATACAGTGTGACCCGGATATAAGAGAGATTTTCTCTGGTCCCAAATTAGAGCCATACTTACCTAAACAAAATAGACCAAACCCGGATATAAGAGACTTCTTCTCCGGTCCCGACAACTCTCTTATATCCAGGTTACACTGTACACAGATACATTTTCCAGGAAAACAAGTGCACTACAAATTATTTCATTTGTTTTTTTATTTTTTTATTTTCATTATTGTGATCATCACTCCTACTTCATTTCATATATATTTGTGAAAAAGGAAAAAGAGAAAAAAAATAAAATCAAAATTGTAAATAAAAATACAATTTTATATGATGGTATTTTAGTAGGTTCCCCTGTGAAGATGTGGTATTTTGGTAAATGTCGGATTTGCTGAAGTGGGATGTGTGCTTGTCGTGAATGAGTAAATTGTAATGAATGAAAGGGGGTTCAAATAGGTAGGTTTAGGATAGTCAGTGACAACCAGCCTCACCTCACTTCCTCTTCGGCCTTGTGCCAAAATTGTATGTAAAAGTACAATAAATATATACGAAAAAGCAAATGAAAGAAATATCAACTCAGATATTCTTTCTATTAGAAACAATGCTTCTTGTCTTTTGTATAATACAAGTTAAATACACTCTCACTTCATATGCAGCCAGCTTTTTTTGACACAAAATTTGTTGTACAATTTTTTTCCTATCATTCAACTTGGGTTATTCTTACTTGAATTAACACTTTGTGGCCATTAGTTTCTTTTTTTTTTTTTTTTTTTTTTTTTTAATTTTACCTAAGTTCCTTCATCATCATAAGTAATAAACTGGACATACACTTTGCAGTCATTTCTATGCTGTCAGGATCTAGGTACCAATAAAGAGATATAAATAAACTGACTCTGATACAAGATAGATGTCAATAGTCTGATATCATTAGAAACAGAGTGAAATAGTTATCAAAAAGATACTAAAGTTGTTACTGTAAGAGAAAGAAAAGCTGATTAATTTTTTTATTTCACATCCATATGCACATGTAAGCAAAGAGACAGTTTGGTAGAAATTAAGCTGTAGATTTTTTCTATCTTTCTTGTTTTTAACTTCATGATTTTATTGCTCAGTTTAGTAAAGTGTTTGTCCAGACTGAGTGGGAGCAGAATGCATTATTCCAATGTCTTATTTCAAACTCAATCAAATTGTGTGTGTGTGTGTGTGTGTGTGTGCGTATGTGCTTTTGTGCACATTAATTGGTACAACCACATGTAAATCACTCATGCACAACACAGCCGTATATATATGCATTTACACATGCAAAGTTTTTTTTGACTGACCGATTTGTTTTTTACAGCTTAACCCTTTGCAGGTTATTTAAAGCCAGGAAATATTTTTTGATTGTAAGAATTTTTTTTTTTTTTTTGAAATAATAATTATTTAGTGATACAAATCTTACTAATTAACCAATAACTGATGGGGGGAGAGGGAGAAAAGCTGGATTTATACCTTTCCCGAGGATATTTGCATGTAAGTGAATATAACGAACCCAACAGAATTGGAACTCAGTTCTCCAATTAACAATTCCAAGCCATTATTCATTACACCACTTGCACATTCAAGCTTACATCACCTGGTATTCCCAAGTGGTCACCCATCAAGGTACTGACTAGGCTCAATGTTGCTTAACTTCAGTGATCATACAGAAACCAGTGTTTCAACATGTGGTCATAAGCCTGCATTCAAAGTGATATTCAGGAAAAGCATGGCAGTCAGAGAATTAGGTTTTCTTTTATAATATAGATTTATTTTTATTAATGTGTAATTGAAAGACAAAATGGAAAAAATTCTATGTAACACATTTCATCCTTTGAAAGGACTTCTTCAGACCCTTTGATGAAATCATATATGCAGGGTGAGGTAACAAGATACAACAAGCCTTGGTTATAATTATTTTGTTTCCTCTCCGTACATATGTATGGTTCCATCAAGAAAAACATTTAGTCTGAAGAAGTCCTTTTGAAAGATGAAAAGCATAACAAAGGGATGTTTAATCTGATATATAGAGTTTACAATTCATATTCTTTTATCAGTTTAAACATTATTTTTAGTTGATATCCATGAGTAGATGCTCCATTTATTTTAAACAGTATATTTCTTTTGTCTACCTGCTTTAATTTTGAGAAATCTTACCAAAGAAAAATATGCATCCTCCAGTGTTTAAATAATATTTAGAGTGATAAAAAATCTGTCAGATTAATAAATAAAAATCCATTACTTCTTTAGAATATGCTTTCTTATATCATATACTCCAATATTTTTATTAAAAATTATTAATGGTTAATCAGTTTTTTATGAAAATTAATTGCCAATAATTTACAATAAATGTAAGCAATTGTTGAGATATATTTATTGAAAAATATCTACATTATGTTCCACAGTATAATATGCAGGTTTCATTTTTGGGTGGTTTCTTGGGTGTGTGTGGGTAACATTTTTTACCTATTAGTTTTTGATATATAATGTGCATGATGGCAACTCTGACAAATGGGTGTATGGGTACTAGTCAATTCAACCTGTAGGCATTCCTAAAAGCATGAGCTTCAAGAAAGCAAATTCCATGTAGGGGGGGGGGGGAATCTTGTTGGATTTAAACCTTTTGTCAAATACAAACTTACGCAAATTGTTTCCAACTCTGTTTCACAAACAAGGCGTCAGCATCTTCTGGGTTATCAACAATAGCAAAGCGTGGATCAGTTACATGTTCTGGGATAGAATTGTAATCAATAAAAACTTTTACAATTTGGTCAGGCCCAAAACTTATTGGCACTACATCTTCATCTGGAAGACTTTCTCCCATTTGAAATTCCTGAAAGAGAAAAAAAATATTAGGTTTAAAAAAAAAAAAATTTTTTCTCAAGAGAAATTTTTAAAAAATGCTAAAATATATAATGTGCTCATTCTATGACAACACAACATTATGACTGTTGTGTCCACTGACCTTCTTCAGTTGACACTTGAGTCAGATAACCACCGTGGAATTTCAAACTAAACTTATTTAATCTGTGGGTGTAGATTGTTCTCATTTTGCTATGCATGTCTAGATTTGAACTGCAATAACTGAAAAATACTAAAAAGAAGAACAATACGAGATATGCCCAGACATGATCAACAGTAGAATGAGAATAATCTACCCTTGTAGATTAAATAAAGGGTTCAGTTTGAAATTCCCTGAAGATTACTTAGATTGGCAGACACCTAAGGAAGGCCAGAGGGGTGAAACATTATGAAAACAAATATAAGGCCATTAGTCTGATGGTAAATGATGTAAGTAATAATAATAATAATAATTCCTCATCCCAGAAATTCAGGCAGACATTTTGTTTACTAATCAACTGCAACAATGTTTTCTGAATTCCATCCGTTGTCAGAAAATTGACAGAAAAAGCTTTTGAAGAAACACTGTATGTAAAAGCCATAACTCCTATTGTTTTTAACTGGATTTCTGTTTACAGACAACATTTTTGTATAAAGCTGACCTGATTAATATCCACATTTATTTTACATGAAGCCATATTCAGATTTTGGAAAGTTTTATGCAGTGGTTAACATAAGATGATTCTTTCTGAAGGGAAGAATAAATTCAAGAAAATGTACCTGTCAACGTATGAAAGATTTAGAAAAAAAGAAAATGGGTTAACACATATGAGAGAAAACAAAGATATTGAATATTATTTTAAATGGACAAATCCCCTTTTAACATTAGAAAAAACATTCCTGCAATGAAGCCATGTGCAGATTTAAACATCAAGCACATATATATACACACACACACATTCACATATATATATATATATATATAGACACAAACACATACACAGCTGGCCACTCATATTCGATGATACCCATCTACTAGGGCAGCTAGTCAATCCCTATTGCAGACACTTGCTCAGGCACAGTTGTGTTTATTCAACATCCACAGAGCCCACTTGTGGTTTATACTGCAACTATGCTGAGCAGACTTTAGTTACAGTTTCTGGAAAAGAGCATGTTATTTAGCATGATCAACAATTTGAATAAGGCCAGCACACTCAAGCCCTCAGTCATGATGACTTGTGACTTCATGCTAGCACAGCTATTGATGGCCTCCTAGGGTTCCGTCTACCCAATTTCACTGACACGGCTTGAGTCAACTGGTTGTTTTCCCCTTTCATTTTATATATATATATTTTTGTTTTTAATTATGCCAAGTAATATTCAGCTAAATGTCTTTACAGCAATAAAATAGTAAAGGAAGATTTCTGATGTATGCTTCTTATAATACATAGATATAGTAGACTGATGAAAGAAATTTCAAAGATAAAAAAACAACAATAATATTGATAATAAGCAGATAATAATATTTATTGTATATTAGTAGGCCTTTTAATCAAATAGGAGCATGATGAAAAAAGTTAAAAATAAAATTTTGGGGACATGACTGTCTTTCTGAATGAAAAACAAAAAATGAAGTTGGACATTTTGGGGGGAATTTTTTGGCCCTGCATTTGTTATATTACTGATGAAATCTAGTTGGGCAAGTTGTAGAGAGTTTGTTGATGGCTTTTTCTGTAAACACGAACATGTGTGTGTGTATATATATATATATATGAGTAGGTACTGAGGTCAACACTGAGTCGCAACAATCCGTTTCATGCTTGAACAAAATTTTCAGGTCTAGTGCCCACTATTATATATACATATGTGCGTGTGTGTGTGTGTATATATATATATATATATATATATATATATATATATACACACACACACACAGTTCATTAACTGTTCTTTCTTTTCTAAATTCTTATATGCCTTTCTATTTGAACTAAAATACTGTACCAAGGCAATACTTAAAAATAATCATTAAAACAAACTCATTAACCCTTGCTCTCCTTAGTCCCTTCTTAAATGTGTATAAAAGTCAATAATGAAGAATAAATAAGATTCAACCAGGCATTAGTCTATTTTGTTACAATTCTAATGAGCTTAAATCAAAATGGAACAATCAAAAGATTATCTGGCCCACCTCCAAACTGTGTAGAAGAATTTACTTATCTCGATAGTAAGATCTCTAGCCATGTAAATAACACATGCATTCGTAAAGCCTGGGGTGTCATCAACAAGTTATCTCTAGTGTGGAGTTCTGGACTTCCAGGTAATGTGAAAAGGAGCCTCTTTCAAGCGACTGTTACTCTGTTCTATTGTATGGCTGGTCAGCATGGGCCCTTCCCTCAAAACTGGAAAGAAGATTGGATGGAACCTACACTTGCATGCTAAGAGTGGCTTTAAATATCATTTGGAGAGATCGTCTCACCAATGTGCAATTGTATGGGAACCTTTGTCCAGTATAAGACATCAAAGAGCATAGAGTCAGATTTGCAGGGCATTTCTGGAGAGCTAAAGACAAAATTGTTTGTGAAGTTCTTTTGTGGGAGCCTACACAAGGAACTGCTAGCAGGGGATGACAAGCCAAAACTTATAATCAAGCAGATTTCTGATGGCATAAACTGCAATCTTTCTGATCTGTCAAATATGATGAACAATAGAATTGGATGGTGACAGAATGTCATGTTAATCTGGACAAACAGTGTGAACTGATGTAGCTGTAATGATTCTATCCAAAACTAAAAAAGAACTGGTCCAATACTTATCACGACAGTTATCATTAGCAGCATAGTGGTAAGTAAGTATACCTGCAAGAACAAATGGAGGAAATTTCATTTCAGGTTTCTGTAAAGGAAGCCCAATCAGTCTTAGACGTTTCACTTCATGTGTAGATATGAATAATACATAGATAAATGCATGATGCTACAATAAAGTTATTTTTCAAGACAAAATGGTGAATTTTAGAAATCTGATAAAACTGCATATACATTGACAAAAGATAAAATAACACCCTGAAAGATGACATGGGTACAGTATGCGTATGCTAGGGTGGGAGTAGATATTCTAATCAAAGTTTCGAAGTCTTTGGTCACTTTGTGCCAGTATACCATCTGTATCTTATGGGTAGATGGTGATACATGCTGCAGTAAAGTTCAGTATAATGAAAAAGTTAGAGTGGCAAACAGATGTTATCCCATAAAGATGCACATATTTTGTTCAATTAGAGCCGTCTGAAAGGGGTCCTATTTTTTGCCTTTAAAAGTTGGATGGCCATTTTATAGCATTGATGTATATGTTGGATTTGACACATCAAGGGTGCTTTGCAATTTGTAACAGCAGTGATTAAATAAATATTCTTATACCTACAGTCCAGGTTCTGGACAGTCATCTAGTACACATGCTTACCATAACTCATATGAATTTACTAGTAGAAGACAATGATCCTGCTTTTCCTCCTGAGGCCAATGTACTGATGATGAGAGAGGCTATGCTGATGACATGAGTGTTCATAGTTAGGTGAAGAATGATCTTGAACCGAAAATCAACATTCTGTATTTTAAGAGCAGCAGTGACAGACTGAACTGAGCATGGATTAGAGTAAATAAACTTTCAGTTATGTAAAGAAGAACCATTAGGAATTGTTTACTTGTAGTAAAACATCTATTTATTCCACCGCACAATAATGCATGTCCACAGTGGTGTTGGGAGGTAATCTGAGGGACATTCTGTTATGGTCTGTGATAGAATAGAGTATTAGAGTAACTTTCATATACCTATTGTCATTATTTAAAAGGCTATTATGCAGATTAAAAGTGTTATCATTGATAATATACATTATATTAATTTCAACACATTTAATATTAGTACTTTGTTTCATTAAAATTATATGTAATAAATTCAAATTATGTATTTGTAAAATATATTTGTTTCATTAATATTTTTCTTCTGATAACTTCCAGTTGCATTGATATAAATACAATCAGAATTTTTATATCCTAATTATTCAACTAAGATATTTACAATTTGCAGGTTGTACAGATCATATAAAGGAAAATTTTTGACTGAATTTTAATGGTAACTGTGCAGTTTTGCTTAATTGTAATAATTGCTTGATTTTTACTTTTTCTTACCTTTGGATATAATAAAGATTTTATAGGCTTGTGTTCTTTTTTTCCTATTATTTTTTGTTTAATTGTAATTATGTCTTGTTTAACCAAAATAATACCTCATAAATATAGCCTAGGCTGTACCATTTACTAATAATTTTACTAATTATTAATTTTTTCTTGATTTGCCCTGCTGAAATTGGGGTGCATCTTATATGCTGTCAAATATGGTTTTCGTTCTGTTAAGAAATGTAATGACGCCATATATGTCATCAAACAACTCCAGGAAATTGCATACCACTCCAATAAAAAATTGCATACCTGCTATGTTGTCCTCACAGTAGCATATGATCACATGAATGGAGGCCCCCTCCTCTTATCCATTAGAAACCGCCTTCCAAGCTTTGAATTCATTGAATGCATCAATCTAATAGAGGAACCTTATTGGTCCACAAAATCTTGCAACTGGCAAGTACCCCAATATAGAAGCATTTCAACCCTCATCAAAAGTATGACAAGGAGAAAATGAGAGACCCAGTTTATTTAATATTTTCTTAGACTAAGCTCTGTGTATTTACAAGTATAGATGTGAAGAGATGGGTACATTTAAGCATTTCATACCATATCTTATACAAATCTACTAATAGAAGACAATGATTCTGCATTCCCTCCCGAGGCCAATGTACTGATGATGAGAGAAGCTATGCTGATGACATAGTTAAGTGAAGTGTTCCATGAAATAGGACTCAAGATAAACATTTTCGAAACAGAAACTATGCTTTGGAATTGGAATGAAAGCAGTGATATCACCTACCCTAAATCCATAAAAATTCAGGATGTGGAATTAGTAAATACTAAATACTTCAAATACCTTGGTGTATGGATCAGTGACAGTAAATTTAGCATAGAAGATAATGAGATTGAACATAGAATAGTCTGTGCTAGGGGTAGTTTTGCCCAACACAGCAAATTGCTACAAAAACCAAAGCATTAACCTGATAACATGATTCATGTTTTTAAATAGCCTCATCAGATTGAGACTTTCATATGGATATTTTGCATGGTGCCAAACCTGTTCAGAAATATCTAAACTGCCAGCTGTATACAACCGTTTTCTAAGATGTAATTGGTTAGTAATAGTTTTGACTGAGTGAAACCTGTGTGTATTGATGAAGATCATCCTTCCTCAAACTTCATGGACTGGTGCTATAGAATCACAAAGAGCTGTACCAAATAATAGAAACCACATCACTTGAGGACTTTCAACAACAGCTACAAATAAAATAGATATCCAATGTAACTTGAAGAGAAAATAATGAAATAATCAAGAAGTTGACATTCCACACTACTTTAGATAAAAGATTAGGAAGGAAACCCCATCAGTACTGGAAAGAGTGATAACAGCTATTGGACTAGAGAAACCTATTTTCATGAAAAATTATTTTTAAGTGAAAGACTTTATAAATTTCAATCCTGCTATTTACCCATAGCTGGGGGAAGAAGAAGATGATTCATACTTTTCCCAAGTGTATTAGCACGTAAATGTACTGTTGATACATGACTTATTTTTTAACTTGTGCATATATTACTTTCTATATGTAATGACCAGTATCAGGAAAAGAAGAGCAATCCAAAAAATTAGTGTTAATAATGGCGGTAAAGCTGCAACAGAATGGCTTGCAATTTGAACCAATGTCTTATGCAACAGAAACTACCGACTGTCTAAAATCAAACAACTCTCTGATCTTGGTCTTTTTTCTTCACTGCAATTATGGTAGCAGCCAAAAATACAATAAAGATGGTTGAAGATAAAAATGGGGAGTTCATGAGAGGGAAGAGCAGGAGAAAGATGCGAGAGGGAAGTGCAGGAGAAAGATGCGAGAGGGAAGAGCAGGAGAAAGATGTGAGAGGGAAGTGCAGGAGAAAGATGCGAGAGGAAAAGAAGATCACGATGCGAGAAGGAAGAGCAGGAGAAAGATCGTAGAGGGAAAGAAGATGTGATGCGAGAGGGAAGAGCAGGAGAAAGATGCGAGAGGGAAGTGCAGGAGAAAGATGCGAGAGGGAAGTGCAGGAGAAAGATGCGAGAGGAAAAAGAAGATGCAATGCGAGAAGGAAGAGCAGGAGAAAGATGCGAGAGGGAAAAGAAGATGCGATGCGAGAGGGAAGAGCAGGAGAAAGATGCGAGAGGGAAAAGAAGATGCGATGCATGAGGGAAGAGCAGGAGAAAGATGCGAGAGGTAAGAGCAGAAGATGCGATGCGAGAGGGAAGAGCAGGAGAAAGATGCGAGAGGGAAGAGCAGGAGAAAGATGCTAGAGGGAAGTGCAGGAGAAAGATGTGAGAGGAAAGAAGAAGATGCGAGAGGGAAGAGCAGGAGAAAGATGAGAGGGAAGAGCAGGAGAAAGATGCAGAGAGGGAAGTGCAGGAGAAAGATGCTAGAGGGAAGAGCAGGAGAAAGATGCGTAGAGAGGGAAGTGCAGGAGAAAGAAGCGAGAGGGAAGTGCAGGAGAAAGATGCTAGAGGGAAAAGAAGATGGATGCGAGAGGGAAGAGCAGGAGAAAAAGATGCGAGAGGGAAGAGCAGGAGAAAGATGCGTAGAGGGAAGTGCAGGAGAAAGATGCGAAGGAAAAGAAGATGGGATCACGAGAGGGAAGAGCAGGAGAAAGATGAGAGAGGGAAGAGCAGGAGAAAGATGCAGAGGGAAGTGCAGGAGAAAGATGAAGGAAAAGAAGATGCGAGGCGAGAGGGAAGAGCAGGAGAAAAGATGCGAGAGGGAAAGAAGATGGGATGTAAAGTAGAGGGAAGAGCAGGAGAAGGATGCTAGAGGGAAGTGCAGGAGAAAGATGCGAGAGGGAAAAGAAGATGGGATGCGAGAGGGAAGAGCAGGAGAAAGATGCGAGAGGGAAGTGCAGGAGAAAGATGCGAGAGGGAAGAGCAGGAGAAAGAAGAGGGAAGTGCAGGAGAAAGATGCAGAGGAGGAAAAAGAAGATGCGAGAGGGAAGAGCAGGAGAAAGATGCGAGAGGGAAAGGAGAAAGATGCTAGAGGGAAGAGCAGGGAGAAAGATGCGAGAGGGAAGAGCAGGAGAAAGATGCAGAGGGAAGTGCAGGAGAAAGATGCAGAGGAAAAAGAAGAGAGCGAGAGGAAGAGCAGGAGAAAAGATGCGAGAGGGAAGTGCAGGAGAAAGATGCGAGAGGGAAGAGCAGGAGAAAGATGCGAGAGGGAAGTGCAGGAGAAAGATGCGAGAGGGAAGTGCAGGAGAAAGATGCGAAAGGAAAAAGAAGATGCGATGTGAGAGGGAAGAGCAGGAGAAAGATGCGAGAGGGAAAAGAAGATGCGATGCGAGAGGGAAGAGCAGAAGATGCTATGTGAGAGGGAAGAGCAGGAGATGCTAAGTAGAGAGGGAAAAGCAGGAGAAAGATGAGAGGAAAGAGCAGGAGAAAGATGCTAGAGGAAAGAGCAGGAGAAAGATGCGTAGAGGAAAGAGCAGGAGAAAGATGTAGAGGAAAGAGCAGGAGAAAGATGCGAGAGGAAAGAGCAGGAGAAAGATGCAAGAGGAAAAAAGAAGATGCGATGCAGAGGTAAGAGCAGAAGATGCGATGCGAGAGGGAAGAGCAGGAGAAAGATGCGAGAGGGAAGTGCAGGGAGAAAGATGCGTGAGGGAAGAGCAGGAGAAAGATGTGAGAGGGAAGAGCAGGAGAAAGATGCGAGAGGAAGTGCAGGAGAAAGATGCGTAGAGGAAAAGAAGATGCGAGAGGGAAGAGCAGGAGAAAAGATAGAGGGAAGAGCAGGAGAAAGATGCGAGAGGGAAAAGAAGATGCGAGAGGGAAGAGCAGGAGAAAGATGCGAGAGGGAAAAGAAGATGCGATGCGTGAGGGAAGGGCAGGAGAAAGATGCGAGGTAAGAGCAGAAGAGCAGAAGATGCGAGAGGGAAGAGCAGGAGAAAGATGCTAGAGGGAAGAGCAGGAGAAAGATGCGAGAGGGAAAGCAGGAGAAAGATGCGAGAGGAAAAGAAGATGATGCGAGAGGGAAGAGCAGGAGAAAGATGCAGAGGGAAGAGCAGGAGAAAGATGAGAGGGAAGTGCAGGAGAAAGATGTGAGAGGGGAAGAGCAGGAGAAAGATGCGAGAGGGAAGTGCAGGAGAAAGAAGGAGAGGGAAGTGCAGGAGAAAGATGCAGAGGGAAAAGAAGATGGATGCGAGAGGGAAGAGCAGGAGAAAGATGCGAGAGGAAGAGCAGGAGAAAGATGCGAGAGGTAGTGCAGGAGAAAGATGCGAGAGGGAAGTGCAGGAGAAAGATGCGAAAGGAAAAAGAAGATGCGATGCGAGAGGGAAGAGCAGGAGAAAGATGCGAGAGGGAAGAGCAGGAGAAAGATGCGAGAGGGAAGTGCAGGAGAAAGATGCGAAAGGAAAAAGAAGATGCGATGCGAGAGGGAAGAGCAGGAGAAAGATGCGAGAGGGAAAAGAAGATGGGATGCGAGAGGGAAGAGCAGGAGAAGGATGCGAGAGGGAAGTGCAGGAGAAAGATGCGAGAGGGAAAAGAAGATGGGATGCGAGAGGGAAGAGCAGGAGAAAGATGCGAGAGGGAAGAGCAGGAGAAAGATGCTAGAGGGAAGTGCAGGAGAAAGATGCAGAGGGAAGAAGCAGGAGAAAGATGCGAGAGGGAAGTGCAGGAGAAAGACAGAGGAAAAGAAGATGCGAGCGAGAGGGAAGAGCAGGAGAAAGATGCGAGAGGGAAGAGCAGAAGATGCTATGTGAGAGGGAAGAGCAGGAGATGCTATGCGAGAGGAAAGAGCAGGAGAAAGATGCGAGAGGAAAGAGCAGGAGAAAGATGCGAGAGGAAAGAGCAGGAGAAAGATGCGAGAGGAAACAGCAGGAGAAAGATGCGAGAGGAAAGAGCAGGAGAAAGATGCAAGAGGGAAAAGAAGATGCGATGCGAGAGGGAAGAGCAGGAGAAAGATGCAAGAGGGAAAAGAAGTTGTGATGCGTGAGGGAAGAGCAGGAGAAAGATGCGAGAGGTAAGAGCAGAAGATGCGATGCGAGAGGGAAGAGCAGGAGAAAGATGCGAGAGGGAAGTGCAGGAGAAAGATGCGAGAGGGAAGTGCAGGAGAAAGATGCGTGAGGGAAGAGCAGGAGAAAGATGTGAGAGGGAAGAGCAGGAGAAAGATGCGAGAGGGAAGTGCAGGAGAAAGATGCGAGAGGAAAAAGAAGATGCGATGCGAGAGGGAAGAGCAGGAGAAAGATGCGAGAGGGAAGAGCAGGAGAAAGATGCGAGAGGGAAGAGCAGGTGAAAGATGTGAGAGGGAAGAGCAGGAGAAAGATGCGAGAGGGAAAAGAAGATGCGATGCGTGAGGGAAGAGCAGGAGAAAGATGCGAGAGGGAAGAGCAGGAGAAAGATGCGAGAGGGAAGAGCAATCCCCCCTCAAAATTACAGAAGCAGCTGTAAAATGGGGAAAGATGGTAGTGGATAAAGTGTGGGAGTTCGTGGACATGAAAATAATATTCCTGCATCAAAATTATTCCATTTTTTTTTTCTTTTATTCTTTTGGTTACTGACAACAGAAAATAAAAATTAGATAATTCCCACAGACAAAATGCAATTTACCAGGCTCTTCATCAGATTCTTCTGCCAAAAATGGTACCAAATCAAAGTGACATCTTGAATAGAATTAAGTAGAGTGCAAGTGATCACTGTCTAATGGCCACTGGTAACATCATTAACATATAAAATTTCAGAACCACCAATCAAGTTACTAAAGTGGAAAGCATGAAGTGGTGTCCAGTTATGGGGAGGTGGATCAGAATTCAAACAGAACTGATTGGATCAATTAGGGAAGGAGTTTGATGTTGAAAGACCGGAAACTAAAATGATCCTAGTTAGAAAATGTTATATTCAATGCTAATAGGAATATCACTGGAACAACATTGAGGATAAATAAGTAAAGGATTATTGTGATAACCAGTAGTGAGTGCTGCTATTGGAAGGTCGAATAGTTCTGGAGTAAGTCAGTCATAATCAACTGATTCCAGCAAGTCTCATGTAGTCTGTTGCCTTATGTATACTTATAGCTAGTTGCTACCTATAGTGTAGTCACTCATGAGGTTGACAGGTTATTCCATTACATCAGAAAACATCACTGACACTCCCCAACCTCTAAGCATTGGAAATGTGTATTTTCTGAACTGTATATTTAATCTTGAGTAAATTGAAATAAATATTGAATATGTTGCAATTTTATTTACTGTAGGGTAAATTTGAAACCACTTAGCAGGGATGGCACTAATCAATGTTACTTCAAATTAAGATCAAACTGTCAATACTTTTAAATTTGCAACAGACAAACAAAAAAACAGATCATCTAAAACATTTAAGAGAGAAGTTATAAAAAGAAGACAGTGAAAATAAAGAGAGTTTTTTTTGATGATAGAAAAAGGGATTTAGGTAAACCTTGAAGTAGTCATCCTCGGGTTCAGTATGGAAGAAATCAATAGATGTCATGTCTGCAGGTTGCCAAGGGAGGAGACAACATCTCCGTTCCAAGGAAGGTAATTCCCTTTGTATGTAGTCACGAGTCACCTCATCTGAAATAGATGCACATGAAAGAACTTGAGACAAATGTGTGTGGGTATGTGTGCATATATCCTTAAGATAATATCCCTATTCTGTAAGGGACATGACATAATTCCTGACTATTTGATGACCAGATTTCAAATGCGCAGTCAGGGGCCAACCACAAAGGCTGTTTGAAAAACTGACTCTGGTTATGTAGACTTGGTAATGTATAACTTAGCAGAGCTCTTATAGTCTTGTGTGTTCTAACATTAAAATATTTATTCCTGTGATTCTCTTAGACTAGTGTTCTAGTTGTAGAAAGGAAAAAGAAAAAAAATATTCATCATATCCCGAGGACCATGAGATGCAGCATAAATTTGAAGAAGGCTAAAGAACATAACAGCAATGTGTAAAAAGTAACAAAATTTAAAAAAAAAAAAAATGGAATAAGAAAATTTGCTTTCCTACTGACAACTGATTTTGAAAAGGGATTTACCTCCAACATCCAAATCTTTTAGTGGCCAAAGAACAGTATAGCACAACTGCTCAGTTACATGGTAAAATGGAGCGATTTTGAATGAGGGGTCATCAGAATGTTGGATTTTAGAGCCAAATTCATCCATTATATACCAAACGGGCATAGCATCATCTGATCCCTGAAGGAGGAATGGAAGAGCGAAAAAAATTAATAATCTTGTAACTGTAAACCATTAAAAAGAAAAAAAAATCATGTAAGGATAAAGAACAAGAAGACAATGTACTGAATGATTAGAAGAGAGTGAAGTGGAATGTTTCATTATTTACATTATTTAGTCTGATGTCCTAATCTTTATTGTTGTTATCACATCATTTCAGCTGTCATGTCCTCTGACCTTTTTCTGGAAAGTCTCATCTCTAATAGAAATGAACATTTTTGTTAATTTATTTGAATTGCGTTAAACAGTAAAAGGAGAAAAAGGCATCATGTGTAGTGGATTTCACTTAACTTTTTGGTAGCATCTTTGACCAATATATTGATTTCTTTATTATGATTTATTTGCAGGTTATTTAATGCTCCAAATATTTTTAGATTGTAAGAAGTATTTTTTTGGGGGGATAATGATTTACTGATACAAGTCCTACTAATTAACCCATAACTGGAGGGGTGAGAAGCAGTAGATTCATGCTTTTCTCAAGGGTATTTGCATGAAAGTGAATGTAACAAACCCAACCAAAATTGGAACTCAGCTCCTTGATTTCCAATTCCAAGCAATTATCCATTAAACCACCTTCACATACAAGCTTACAGCACATAGTATACCCAAATGGTCACCCACCTAGGTACTGAATGGGCTCAACATTACTTAATTTCGGTGGTCATGCGAGAACCGGTGTTTCAACATGATATGGCCATAAGTGATAATGTATAAAAAATTAAACATGTGTTCAGAATGAGATAAAAATTGAAATATATTTGCAGCCTATTTTGTGTTCAACTTGATACCAAGATCACAAGTCTTACAACTGATTTGGATCATAGCAGCAGTGAGGGTGTCTAGACCAAGATGGAGTCCATGTCTCTTCTGGCTGGTTTTGAATCAAGTTGTCCTTCTTCTAGACTGATTACCCTACCAGAGCTAAAGAGCCCAGTCTGCACTACTATTTAACTCACAGCTTGAAGAAAAATGATTCATGCCTTTTCCAAGGGCTAAATGAACAAAATAGATTCAGTCAGAAATTGAACTCAGTATGTGGATTTCACTTTCTGTGTTGTTAAACATTATATTGTCACACATCATTCAACATGATATAAATTAATTTAAATATTCAAAGAATGTATCAGATATAAAATACTGTTATCTAAACAGAAAAAAAATAAGATAAAATTGAAAATTTTGGCCTTAAAAAATTACTGAAAATTCTTTATTTTATAAAAACTCTGAGAAGGAGAAAGGAAAAAGATTTTATTATGAAAAATGTTTAATAATGAAAAAATGTCTCAGAGTGTGAGCAGAGAGAATGGAAATAAAAACTCACCATCTGTAAGTGACCAAAACTGTAGACTTGGTTGTACCTACAAAAGTAAATATACAAGTATGTGTGTCTGTGTGTATATTATACACACACACACACACACACACATTTCATGGCACCTCCTGCTAATTATATTTAATATTACAGTATTATGAAGTTAGGCTAGACAATTTTTCTTGCCAGAATCTATCTTACATAGTTATAAGTCTCCATGCTTTGAGTATTGCTGCCATATCTGGTGTGGTACTCCTGCTATATATTTAAAGATTATTGATAAGAATCTGCAGTGTTATTGGCCCTTACCTGGCATTTTGGCTTCTGTTCCTTTCCCACCATCATAACATAAATTCCCTGTGTCTTTTGTATAAATACTATCATGGTAATTGTTCTGATGAAGTTTCATCTCTGGTACATAAACTTTATGAATTTATGTGCAATACTAGATTGGCGGCAAGGTCTCATCATTTTACAGTTGAAATTGCTAGATGTAACCATAACTTTTATGCTAACAGTTTATTTTCTTGCACTTCTTGCTTATGGAACTCTCTTCTGGCTTCTTGCTTCTCAGTCAACTGTGATCTTCAATAATTTAAATGCAATGACAATCATTATCTACTGTCTTTTAAATTACTGTTCTTTTATTGTTCTCTCTCCTTAATAGCAGTTTTTTTATTCATATTTTTTTATTTCATATTTTCTAATACTCATTAACTGCTTGTGTCTTAGTGGCTTTATTTCCTTCTTTGGAGTGAAATGATAAAAAAAGGCTAGATACAAATACTAGTAGGTAAATCTAAGTAAATGTTATTGTTAACCTACCAAATATATTTCAAGTTTGCATAAATGTCCTGGAAGATATTTTTTGAGGGGGGGAAAGTGTGGGGTTTCTCATTTGCTATCAAATATGATAAGTATTTACTAGATTTAGCTTAGTTTTGCACAAGGCCACAAGTTTGGAGCACTCAGTCAGGATCATGCTTACTTTGGTAGTAATGGTCTATGCAACTAGCTTCCTGACCATTGTGTATGCATGCCTGTATATATATCATGGCAGAGGTCATATCTTATATGATTCAGGTACTAATGTCATTTCTTCTGCTAATCTCCTGGTCTCAATCATTATCATTTTAGTAGAAACACTTTTTCCCAAATTCCTCTGGTCTTCCACCCACATTTTGTAATATTATCCTCAAGTTCAAGCCAGTGTCTGGCTGGGCAATGATGGTCAGGTGATCTCTTAATTGATCTTCTTGCAATTTTCAGTCTTGTACCATTTTTCTTTTCAGGTGATGAAATAGAAACCTTTGCTGCTGCCGCCATTCTCTTTAGAATAGTCTATCAATTGTGCATTATTTACATTATTCGGACTATTGTCCTCATCTTTGTCGCCATATTTAACACAACGTTTCAGCTGTTGTACGCTCCAGCCTTCTTCAGGTGGTTGGAATTTTGAACTGAACCCTTTATTTCGCTCACTGGGGTAGACTGTTCTAGTTCCACGTGCCATGTTTGATGGATACCAGCTATCAGTTATCTCCTGCTAATTTCCCTCTGAAAGTTCTCCACTGCCTTAACCGGGTATTGAACTCACACTCTTTGGGTTCTGTCACTGGATCTAACCAACGCCTTTATCCACTGTGCCATGTGTCCCTGAAGAAGGCCGGAGCGTACAACAGCCGAAATGTTGTGATAAATATCGCGACAAAGATGAAGACAATAGTCCGAATAATGTAAATAATGTACATAATACCTCATCTCAGAAATATAGACAGACTATCAATTGTAGTTTGCAATGAATAGTGGAGCCTAATCACTTACCATCTGCAGCCATATTATTGAGGGCAAAATCATAAGTATAATATCTACCAATACCAAGCAGTCTTGCTGAATGCACTCATCACATGTAAACACTTCACTAGTTATTCTTCTTTGGTTGTTTCATATGGCCATATTTCTCTGTGGCCTTAATGTTATGTTTCCCAGGTAGTGTTTTACCATTACTGGTATTTACTTTCAGTTATGTCCCTTTTTTCTCTAGTTCCCAATCGGTTAGTGAAAGAAATACTTAAAAACCTCACCAGTACTTTGTTACAATAATTCCTATACAATAGTACTGGCAATAATAAAGTACTTTGTGTAAATAACATTATTATGGAATCAAGATGTGTTTTTTTTTTTGTTTTTTTTACTTAACACAATTATTTTAACTATGTTCACTTCTTGGCAATGTTTATTGTTTTAAAAAGCAATGATTAGAATTTTAATAAAACCTAAACATATGAAAGTGAATTTATGCATTTTCTTTGTTCCTGAGAATTTAAAACAAAAATATTAAAGGCTATTTATTTATTATATTGTTTGGAATGGTTGGCAAAAGATTGGCTAATTGCTAATTGATTCAAACTTTATAAAATGGTAAATAATAAACATTTCATTATAGTTGGTTCACATATTTTTATAATTTAGTAAATGTTTATAAATTTATGAATAAAAAATTGTTTTTATATTTATTTATTTATAAATTGGTAAATGATAAACATTGCATTGTATTAGTTGGTTTGTATTTTTAAACTGTTGTAAATATAAAATTATTCTTGTAAATAAACAATCTAATAAATAAATAGTGTTTAATATTTTTGTTGTAAATTCTCAAAACCAAAGAAAATGTATAAATTCACTTTCTGCATATGTTTATTGTTTTATTACAGTTCCAATCATTGCTTTTTATAACAATAAACATTTCTGAAGAGTGAAGGTAGTTAAAATAATAGCAGGAAAAACAGTCCTTTTGACAAGACTTTTTTTGCAGACATGAAGGTCCAAGATTGCCAAAATATCTTACTTACGACCACATCTTATTGAGGACTTGCTCAGTGAGACCCTCCTTAGTTAGATCATCTGCATTGATGTCCATCAAACTGGACATTCGTTCTAGAAGACTAGGAATCTGTTGAAGGTGGGCTCGAGCATCTTTAGGCCAGTAGGTCCATGAGTGGTCAATCAGGTAGATGCTAGAAGCAAAAGAGAAACACTTTGTTTAATGATACACAACAAGTTAAAGACTTGAAAATTACTTTTCTATGATAACAGAAAGTTCACATCTATTCACTGCAATGAAAAAAGAAAGAAAAAAACAATACATAAAGTGCTTTTGATATTGAGCTTAATTGATCCAAAATTTATTTAAATATTCAGTAGAATAACCTTTTCAACTAAACCAAGTCACATTTCTACTGCTTCAACCCTAAATACAGACCAGAAACAATATCAAATGAACTACCAAAAGTTGATTATGCATCATTTTCAGTGATAGTGGTGGTGATAATATAGGAGAGTAACTTTTCACTGTAAATGAAGCATTTATATATTCTTAGAGTCCAGAGACCAAAGAACTTATGCAGTAGTGGCAATTGGGTGCTTGAAAACCAAACAAATTCAAGAACCAAAAATCAGCAGGAAAGATCATGGTCATGGTAGTTTAGGGATAAGGAAGGCATTTTGATGATTATTTTCAGAAGCGCTAAAGAGTTAATGCAAAATATTTACTTGCTCTGCTGGTTAAAGAAGGTGTTGAAAGAAAAACAAGATGCAGAACTGTATTCTCTTTTTGAGAGACAATGGAACTGCTTATAAATCTGACAGGACATTTTTTGAAGAATTTGGGTTTTGAGTGCACAGGCCACCCAATGAGCCAGACCATGCTCTATCTATTTCCTATTCCCAAACTTTAAAAAGGGTTTAAAAAAACAGACATTTTTAAATGGTCAGTTGGGTATGGAGAATCTGTTAGCCAAGTGGATGTCAAAATGTTGACCAGAAAGAACATCCAGTGAACATCTTGAAGTTGATTTTGCAACATTTTCATTAATTTGGTGGTAAATGTTTTGAATGACTTGTCACTGCTGATGAAACATAGTTTTATCAATATGAATTCATTATGAAAAAAAAAAAAAAATCAATACAGAGTTCTTTTGATATTGAGCTTGACTTTACCAGCATATGTGACAAAATGTTCATTTTCCTCCTTAGTAATGTTCATGCACTGCCAATGTGTATAAAAACATAAATTCTTTTCACCAAAGATTTTTGGTAATGTTTTTCAACACTGTGTCATTAAATAGCACTTTCTGGAGTATTTGGGAAAACAAAATTCAGATGTTTTCATGGTCAGCGGGCACAATTTTTGTAACAGAAGATGTACTTTTTTTTCATCCGACCATCCTTGACATTCTTCTCTGAAAACAGCATTATACCTCTTGCAGTATAAGAATGTAATGTTTTCTTCTGGAATGTAATTAAATTCATTAATTGAGCTAGTGATTGAGTCTGGCGAAAAAGAAACTGACACATTGTTTGCTCCTTGCTTTTCCAGGATTGCTTTTATCTGTTCTTGATATTCGGTCCACTCCCAATGCATTTGTTGTACTAGTTGCTGAATAACTATCTTCAATTCTTTCATAGTGTTTTAGTTTGTACAAGTAGTCCTTAAATTGGAAGCATTATAGCAGTATGACATGCTGCTTTGAAGTTTATTGACTATTGTGCTGCACTATGAATATACACAAACTCTACAAAATTCTTTTCCGTGAATTTTGAATTTTCTTCAACAGCTATTTATGCTAAGCGAGAGGAAATATTTTTTTCTGTGTGAATTTGAATCCTCATCACTAGTGTTATGTCTTCATTCCATTGAATGAAGAGAACACAATCAACAAATATAATGTTAGTTAGAGTTGACATAGTTTTGCTGAAATCTGTAATAAGCAAATAAGCTAGATCTCTCTCTGCTCCCTTTCTATTGATGATTCTCAGTTTCAGTATATATCTATTTGCACAAGTCCAAGTCCTATTTTCAAAAGGTGTGTTCATCTTCAAAACACACAGTTACACCACTAGCATCCAATGACCAAATAATACCCAGTAACAGTGATACTCCAACACCCCACCCCACCCTCACCAGTCAATGAAATTTAAGACATGAAATTTAGCAGGAAAAGTGACTTCTTTTTAATAATATCGGCCTGAAGACAAAATCTCAGCATGTGACATCATTTGGAAGTGTCTGAAAACCACACCACAAATTGACCCAAGCTCTGTGAATGAAATTAGGTAGACAAAACTGTCCAGAAGCCATTTATAGTCTTACAAGGTTACAAGACAGCATGGCCAAAGGCTTCAGCATACTGGCTTTGTTCAACTACTGATCACACCAGCTTATGTGATCTCTCCCAAAAACAATAACTATGGTCTATTCAGTATAGTTGCAGTATAAACTTCTGTTGGCTCTGTGAGTATTGAAGAAACACAACGTATCTGCAATAAGGATTAGTGAGACACCGTAACCAACAGTCATATTTAGAAAACAAGCAACCAATCATTATTAGAAATCAATTATTGTTAATAATGGAACCTATATGACACTATGTGACACTGGTGGAATTGAAGGGGTTAATGTAAAAATGTGAGCTAGGAATATGAAAAGGGAGGAAGAGAGAATATTGAGAGATTGGCATGCAAGAGGAAATCGCTGAAGTATTTTCTAGGTTATTCATTAACCGTGGGAATTAAAAAAAAGAATTAATGACTAATTTCTAATTAAACATGAATATTTTGATAGTTTTTTTTTAATCCCACATTTAGACATTATTGATGGAATAACCTGACATATGAGGCGGGTACTGAAAAATTCTTGGCCCAAGCAAGAGATTATTAAAAAAAATTGGTGTTCAGCTATTTGGACAGATTTTGAGAAGTGGGTTGGGGCCATGGTGTTATATACTACAGGCCTACTACTGGTGTAACTGTGGGCCTATTTCAAAATATTTGAATTTCCAAAATTTGTGTTGAAAATTTAAATGCTAAGTTCTTTTGAAAATACTTGTCATGACATTTTGAACCATACTTGTGGATAGTTACATGCATAGAAATTTAAATAAATAAAAATATGTATTTTTGGTGTTGGCACTGGCAAATATTAAATAAGACAGAGGAAGCCAAAATCTAGTATGGAACACCATTGTTGGGTTGAAAACTTCAGCATTTGTTTATGTTTCAGAATTGCATTCTAACTGATTATTTTAAACAAGACATTATTACGCAAAACTTCTTTTGGACTTACATTCTATCTTGGTTGATTTTATCACATTTCAACCAGTGCATCCTTGAGCCTTCCTCTATTAGATTCTTTAACTTTTAGAGAATGTTGAACAAAAGCCCTTTATTTTATCCACTAGGAAGGAAGGGTGAATGTTGTTATTATCTTTCTTATTGGTGATGTAGAGTAATTGGCCATGGTGAAGGGTAACTGACAAAAATGCCCAACAAACAGAATTGACAAAGTTTCCAATAAACAATAAGAAAGAAAAGCAAAAAACAAGGCAAAGATGATAATAAGCAAATAATATATATGCAAGACAAAACTAAGCAAAGCAACAGTGATATGGCAAATGTTCATAAAGTAAGAATAGTGTTCATATGCAAAAGGGATACAATCAAGTGATTCTAGTGTTCTGACTTTAAGACAAAAAAGAACAAAAATATGACAGATGGGAGCAAGAAGTGGTCCATTTTATAGGTTAGGAATAAATTTCAGTATGCATCTGAATGATTTGTCTATAAATTTGGGGATGACAAGGCTTAAACTGATCATTCCTAACAGAACTGGTACCAACAGATGCTTTCTTTAATCCTGTCAAGCATTCTTTTAAGGATTTTTGTAATTGTTACAACTTTTCTAAGTGTTGTTGTTCTTTCTTTTCTACTGAATTGATGTAATCCTCTAGTGGCTCCAAGGTTGACTTCATGACTTCCAGGAACCAAGACTAAAGATCTTTTTTAATTTTTATGTATTCAACCATGATCAAATTCTCTAACGATATGAGAGAAACCTGAGGAAAGCTGTAGAGTCCACCAGTCGAAACATTGTGATAAATATGCAACTAAGATGAAAATGCAAGTCCAAAAGACTCACCTGTTTATGAGTAAGGATTCTCCAAGTGTGCTGTTGTACTTACTGCTCAGGTTGAGCCACTTTGAGTGGCTTGGCTGAATCCAAGACTACTTTCCAGCTAAAGGTCGGCTCAGCAGACATTCTGTCAATTCTTTCTTCACTCTTTTCTTCTTCATTGTCATCGGAGTCATTTTCAGAAACAATCTTCAGAATCTTGAAGACATTACCTGCATCAAAGACCTAAAAGAATAATAGTAATAATAATAACCAGCAAATCTCATGATTTTCCCATTTTAATTTTCTGATGAATTTTTATTCTTAAGTTAATAAAATGAATAAGCTCCTAGCAAGTTTCAAAGCTATGAAATACTGATGGAAATTCCCCTATTGCTTCATTAAATATTTGAGCTTAACAACTTAACAATATATTACAATAACAATCATAAGTATGAATGTAGGTCATTATTTAAAGAAGTAAGAGGGTACAAATGAAGAGATTGAAAATTGACAAGGTTTTCCATTTCATAGATTAATTGATTGATTGATTTGTTTTTTTTTTACAGCCTATCAACACTTTTGCAGGTTATTTAAAGCCAGAAAATATTATCACATAAGATTTTTTTAGCAGAGGGGGATAATAATGATTTAGTGATACAAGTCTTACTAATTAACCCATAGGTGAAGGGAAAAGAGGTGAATTCATACCTTTGCTAAGGCTATTTGCACATAAGTGAATATAACAAATCCAATGGGAATTGGAACTCAGCTCTGATTAAAAATTTCAAGCCATTATCCATTACACTACCTGCACATCCAAGCTTACAGTACCTAGTATTTCCAAGCAGTCACCCATCTAGGTACTGACCAGGTGCAACATTGCTTAACTTCGTGTTTCAACATGATGTGGCCGTAAGCCCCATTTCACAAATGCAGATGTTAAATACATGAGAGTGTTATTGCTTCCTCTATCTTTCATTCTTTCTTTTCCCTGCCTTTCGCTAAAACAAACCAAAACAGTGCCTTTGATATATCTTTTGTCTATCCCCAAACAGGAATGGCCTGTTGTTTAGGCTGGACATAATGTACATACTAATGAAGGAACAAGCAGAATGATGACGACGATGATAATTTTTTTATATAATGCATTTTAGAAAGTGGGAATTTTGTGGATTCATGTTTGGGAATACTAATGAAAGGTTTCACTACTTATATTTGGTTATCAAACTTTTTAGTCTCAAAGAAAGCACTGAAAATTTTTGAAGGCATTTAAATCAATCAAGATTGTTCAAATAAGAAATTAAATTTATTTCATTTCAGAGATGAGTAAGTGTATTCTTGTATTATTTCAAACTATTATTATCTTGGTTGATATATATATATATATATGTTATTATAGACATTTTGACTTCATGGGATAAGTTGGTTGGTATAGCATTGATTCTTGTAATACTTTATCCCTGTGATATCAGTTTGTTCCTACTAAACTGGTGCATCACTACCAGATCCAAGGATTGAACTCATCATCACTAGATGAGAGTAACACATGTATAACCACCTCCTAGATCCACTATGCCCCACCATCCCAAAGGACATTAGTGGTGTGTTTTGGGAGCCTTTGATATTCAATGTCAGATGGTTTTTGACATATGGCAAGTTCATTTTCATAATTTAGTCCGAGATGAGTAAGTGTCAATATTCTTGCATTATTTCAAACTATTGTTCTCATCTTGGTTGATATCAATGTTATTATAAACATGTTTTGGCCAAGTAGCCTCTGGTCAACATCAGGTGTCCATTGATTAGCTGATATTGTATATCTATTGATTATTGTGATATTTTGTCACTGTGATATCAGTTATTGTTCATTCCTTCTGAATCGGTGCATCACTACCAGATCCAGGAGAAGATTAGTTAAAAATAATACAAGTTGAGACATGCAAATATTTACTAACGAATTTAAATTTAAAACTCATTACATTTTTGAAAGAAAAATTAGCATCCATTTCCAGTTAAATATATTTTTAAAATAAAATATTTACAAAAAAAATTAAAGAAATCTCTTTAATGCCTGACTTTAGAGAAATGTAAGGAATTCATCTCAGCCTTCTACCCTTTAGTAGTTTGGTGATTTCTGGTAGAAGCATATGAAGAAAATTCAACTATAGAATTGTAATAGGCAGTTTTTTTAGTAACTTTTACAGGTAATTGTGGATATTAATTATTTCACCTAATACCAATTAGAAAGATCTCAAAGGTGAGACAAGTTGCAATTCTTCAAAGGCAAGATATGACCTTCTTTGATAAAGATATTTTTTTTATGTCAGCATTAAAATTTCATTTCTCTATGAATTTCTGGGATGAGGAGTCATCATTATTTACATTCGGGCTAATCTTTGTTGTTATTATCACAATATTTCAGTCATTGTATCCTCAGGCTTTCTTCAGTCTGTTTATTCAGGTAACCTTCAGGAAATTTCAAAATAGACCCTTTATTTAATAAAGGAGTGAATTGTTCTCAAGCAAATGTCCATGTCTAGGGATATTTTGTCTTGTCTTGTGGATTAAACCTTTGGTTTGTGAATTTGGTGATGTAGTAATTGTGAGTTCAAACCCTGGGTAATACAGATTTAAACGCAGCAAATATAGATTGAGAAATTGTTTTTAACTACTGAGTTGGGCGGGGGGGGGGGGTAGACTGTCCTTGTTCCACTGTTATGTCTAGTTCTTATTTTTAGTACTGCTCAGTTATTATTTGCCCTGTTTCCACTGAGTCCAGTTACACACTGCTTGGCCCAAGGATTGAACTCACAATGACTATGTCACCAAATTCATGAACCAACTTGGAGCCTTAAACCTGACCTGCCTGCTGATTAATGCTGCTGCTGCTTGACTGAACTCACTGAAGCTTTTCTCTTTTGTTACAGCTGCTATGACTGTTGAAGACTTGCTGTCATTTGTCTAGGCTATTGTCCCATGGATTAAAGTGTTGGTCTATGCATTTAGTTGTATAGTAATTGCAAGTTCAATCTCTGAGCCCAATAGTGAAGACTTAGACCTGGTGGAAACAGGGTGAACAATAATTGAGCAGTTCCAAATAAGAACAAGACATCCCTAGACATGGACAACAAAAAGCAAACAATCCACTCCCAGAGATTAAATAAAGAGCTCAGTTCAATATTCCTGAAGGTTACCCAAATCAACAGATACCTGAAGAAAGCCAGATAATGTAATGGCTAAAATGTTGTAATACTAAAGATGAGGACATTAGTCTGAATATAAATAATGTAAATAATAACTCTTCATTTTGTTATTTTAATCAATTCACTCCAAGCAAGGAAATAATGCCACTAAGATGCAAGGAGTGAAAGAGAATGAGACTTTAGATCCTAGCAATTCAAAAGAAATCACTTGGTTAATACTAATAAAATCTGACAATGCATATTTTTTATTGACTATGCTGAGAATACTGTGAACTGAACATGTGAACAACAACAAAGATTTAAAGAAAATGAAAACAAAAAGGACACTCATATTTAATATCAGGAAGAGAAAGTTGAAATTTCTAGGGCACATAATGAGGAAAGGGCTTGGAAAATCTGATACTCACAAGACAGATTGAAGTTAAGAGGCACAAAGAAAAACAATGCCTAACCTACCTAGTGAGCTTGAGTAAATGAATGGCAGAACAGTGTATAGGAGAAATAACAAAAAGAAAAAAATTTATTAAGAGTTACAAAAAACAAGAAATTGTGGAGAGCCATGATTGCCAACATCCTGAAGAGGCACAGCACATAGAAGATAAAGTATTATGCTATTTTCTTGACTAACAAGATGCATTTTCTAAAACAAAATTACAACTTTAAATGAAGAAAATATTTTAATTACAATATTTTTTAAGATTTTAATTATACAGCTTGTGATCATATAAAGTTTAATTCTTAAATCATTACTAGTGTTTGTTTAGTGACATATCACTTCATCATTTAATGCTGAAATTTAATTTTCTTAGGAACATTATTAATTTCTTTTAAAAAAATGTATTGCTGGTAATTTTACTATAAAAATGTTTATACTTTCATAACATTTTGACCCCAGTTTGGGAGCTAACTATTTGCCCATAGCTGAGACCCAAGAATGTGCTACCACTCCGGGTCTGGGTGGACCTGGGAACAACAGCAATTAAGAGGTGGCTCCATGCTCCTCAAATTCTCCTGATCAGAGGCCTTGCTGCTGGATGTAGTTTATCATCATACCCAGGAAAACATTACTAATGCATTGGGTCCTTATTGAGTATCCCTTAATGGTGGTCTTGTGCCAAAATTAAGCTAAGTTTAGTCAATTTTTTTACAGTGTATCACCCTCTACAAGGCCCGGGGGTCACCCCAGTTAGAGGGTTACAAAGAGCCTGTTTATGTAGATAGGAGGGAAGATATCACATATAAACCTAGACTTGAATTGGCCAAGATTATAGTAATCAGAGAAAGATCCTCTTGGGAGTCAGTTCCACAAAGCCGTAGTTCTTGGAAAGAAGCTGTTCATGTGGAACTTACTTCTCACCAATGGAATACAGAAGGAATGAGGGTAGTTTCTTACAATATCAATGGCATGGTGGGTTCTAGCCATCAAGGTTAGATCTGGTTGAACCAATGAATGCAGTTCATCTGAGCACTTTCCATGGAAGTAGCAATAGAACAGTGAGATGCTTGCCACATCCTGTCAGAGAGAGTGGGGTTGGAAGGTGAAAAATAATTTGTCACACATAAAGACTTGAAGATGCTTTCTTTTGAATTTTATCAAGACTGAAGAGTGAAGACTGGGCAGCTCCTACCTAAATATAACAATGGTACTCTTTTTCAAGCATTGATTTGGCTCTTGTTAAGGGTAGAGGATAGCACAAGGAGTCAGGTACTTTCTAGAGCGGTACAGGGAACTGACTATTTTTCCTGCATCTTTAGTGATGAATCGAATGTGTGTGTTTCACTTGATGTCAAGAATGAGTTTAAGGTCCAGTGGTTTAGTTTTCATAACAATCAACAAAAAGAGGCAATAATTTCTGGAGTCAAAAGCTTACACTATGCATTCTACTGTGATAAAAGATTTAATAAAATGAGACAGTCTCTACATAAAAAAAACATAGCTAGAGAGACAAACAGACTGAGAGAGAAGGGCACTTCGACATACTGATTAACACGCATATCTCGTTAGAGATCAATTATGGCTGAGTAGCTAGTTCGATCATCACTAGTACTCCATACTTACTGCCTTGTGCCACATCTAAGCTATGCTTAGTAAATCGTTATGTGAGTCAGAGAAAAGAAAGCCATCAAACAAAAATAAAGTTTTCGATTCTGCAATTCATTCACCGAGCCATTTTGTTACTTTAGTAGTTTTATCGACGCATTGTGGTTTAAAAGAAATTTCATTGAATCACCCCTTTAAGTTCCTTAACAATTAACATTAACATCAAGTTAACAGAACTAACATTAAAAAAAAATAATGTCTTAAAAGTTTAGTTTTTTCTTATTGTCTTTTTGTTATTCATAGTTTTTTTTAAAAAAAACTTTTTTATTATTTGCTTCATAAAAAATGCTGGAGTACCTCGATGTTTCTTCTTTTTTTTTTTTGTATAATAGAAAAATTTCATTTCATGCCTTTGAAAACTTAAAATAAAAAGAACCATTTTATTATTGACCTCAAGTAAGCCAACTCTTTGTTAAAGTTTTATGAATGTATCTACGACCCAGAGCAAAAAAAAAAATAATAATAATTTAACTTTTCATTTCAAATTACATAACTTTTTTATGACAAGGTATGCTACTTAAGAAAAAATTGTTCTTTAAACTAATAAAAATGCTACTTTTTTTTACCAAAAGATTTTTTCTGTGAAAATTAAATTGTGTAGATTGAAAAACGCCAAGAAGTTAAACTTTAACTGTTAAAATAAAAGATTTATTTAATCTTCGAATTCTGAGAGAAAATCAAATTAGAATTTAACAAGTCAAAGAATACTTTTAAATCGTTTTAACCACATTTTCCATTCGAAATGAGTTGTAAACAAAAGAAAAAATAGATTGAAGAAAAGCGTAATCTTTCAAAGCACTATTTTCAATTTGTCACCAGTGTTTTATGAATTCTTTATTAATTAAAAAAAAAAAAGCACAGTAATTGAGCAAATATAAAGCGTTTCGTTTTTTAAATTAACTTTGGGAAAAATTTTAAATTGAAGTCGCTTGAAAATCTCCTTTTTTAAAAGGACATGTGTTAAAATTCAAAGACTAGACCCCCCCAAAAAAGACCCCTGTAAAAACTTCTGATTGGAAAGTGACAAAAATCTGAATATTTTTAAATTTTATTTTCGTTATTTATCTGACAAAGATTGCTTCGAAATAAATCTGTGTAAAAACGTAAAAGCTTTTATTTTATTTTTTTTAAGAAGACTATAAATTTTATAGTCTTTTAAAGTGAACTAAATGAAATTAATTTGGTTGTGGTTTACCTGTTCGGTAAGTTTGTAATAAAGGGATGCCCAATATTTTTCTGGGATTCCAGCCAACTGAGGACCGTGTTTCTGAATAAAAACACCCAGTTCGTTAACATGATCCTCTGGCACAAATCCATTTTTCAAATTATGATGTGAAGTCGACATCGTCTCTCATTTACACGTGGGAAGAAAAGAAAATGAAACATACGAAAAGACGGATTGGGGAGAAAAACAAATATTCTTTTCAAATTTATTTAAAACTTAAAAGAAAAATTCGAATTTTTTTTTATTTTTATTCTAAGCTTTGTAATAATGTGTAATTAAAAAAAATAATATCCAGAAATCAAAATTTAATTATGACCATCAAGAGTAATCTCCCATGGTATTGATTATTTTTCAATTTAAAAAAAAAAAAAAAACAATTTTTAAGTATTCGCTTACTCCATGCCATGGAATTATTTAAATGTTTAAACGGCAAAAAATTTAAAATATTGGTACTGGTGATTAAAAAGATAAAAGTACTGACATAGGCTAGACTATTTTTGAAAAATATGTATCTTAGGAAATATAACTGTTTTTAACAAGTGTCACAGCACAGGCAACGTCCCTATCAGAGTCAATAAGCGAAAGTCGGTTCAAGATTCAATATGTTTTCCTGTGAATAAGTGTTGTTCCCGGCATTCTCTTTTGCTTTATGTCGAGATTCCTAACCTCCCTTAGTTTGTTTTTGTCCCCCATTTTTCATCCCGACTGGGTCTGCCTTTGGTTTCTCATTTCCGTCATTTATTTTTACCCTCCCCATTCTATTAGCGAGCGTTCTTCTTGATTTTGTCTATCGACAGAATACAGCAGCCACTCTATTTTGAGGGATGGACGGGTCCTACTAACATTGTTTTAGTTTTATCCTTGTGCTTCATTTTTTTTTAGTTTGTTTTCTGGTTTCACCCCCCCACACACACACCCACCCACCCACCAATAATAAATAAATCATGAAATTTTCATATAAACGAACTTTATGAACAATGTAATGAAATTTTTACATCATAGTATTTTCTGTAAGTCCCCTGCGAATATGCGGTATTATGGTATATACAGGATTGATGGATGAGTTCTTGTGGTGAATGGGCAAATTGTAATGAATGAATGAATGAATGGGTCATGATTCTGATTGACTAGGATAGCTAATGAAGACTAGCCTCACTCAATTTCCCCTTCGGCCTTGTGCTACAATTTTGTCTTTTATTTTTATAGTCGGTTACCAAAATGATTATACTGTTGGTGTGATTAATCTCAACTTTACAAAAAAATTTTTAAAACAATTCTGAAATCATTCATTTTTTTTTCAATTAGCATTTTTTTTTTTTTTTTTTAAACCAGCTTCTCTTTAAGTTGAATTTAGTAATCCAGTCTTTAAGACTCTTAAGAAGAACGTCTTAAACGTGTGGGTGTTAAACAATTGAAGGATTAATTACTCATATGCACTCTTTTTAGTCAGTAGCTTGGTGGCGCAAAAAATAAATTCTGATATTTTGGTAGATTTTGCTTATGTCCTGTTTCAGCTGACTCACTCACCAACAAACTACACTTCAATTTTAACATATACAGTTTTTATCAGGACAAGAATTCTACTCAAAAACATACAGTTTGCCAAACAAACATTTTGTTCAAAAAGCAACTTTCAACATAATGCAAACTTACTTCGAGTCAACTATCTTACAGCCAAAAGATTCGTAATGTTTAATGCACAATTTACTCAAAAGTTATAAGCTTAAAAGTTTATCTTTTAAACACAAAATTCAACTTTTGATATCAACTAACATTTCATTTAACAATTTCGAGTGGAACTTTATTCATGTAATATTTAAACTTCTTTTTCTGTTTCATTAACAAAAAAAAAAAAACATAGTCAATATTCAACAGGTAAAGGGAGACAACTCTTACCTCCAACATCAAACTGATAGAAATTTCCAATGTAAAATATTATTTAATCTGAATTGATTAATTCTCTGAAAATCCTTTTTACTGACAGGAACACTGAGAAACTCTCTATATGTCCTAAAGAACGTTCTCATTCTCATGTTATATATATTTCTTATATAAATGCTTTATTCTTATTTTTCTAAAAAGGAATATTGCTTGTTTTATATTTTGTTGTTGATGACCTTGTGTCATACCCAAACTTAAATGTTTGTAGAGAAGTTTATTTTCATGCAGCCAACACAAATAATACCTACTGATATATACATATTTTTCCTAATAATCTACTCCTCTGCAACAGTTTGGTCCATCAAATGAAAAGAATAAAAATTGAAGAAATTGGTTAATGCACCAGGTGATCATAATCATAAGATTGTAGTGATTGGGGAAGCATTCTCTTGGGAGTTGGTTCCAGAAAGCAGCAGTTCATGGTAAGAAGCTATTTGAGTGGAACTTACATCTCACTAATGAAATATGAAAGGAATAAGGCTGGTTTGTAACAATGTGTGTGGCATAGTGGGTCTTAGATGTGAGGGTTAGGACTGGTGAAACTAAGGAGGGTAGTTCATCTGAACACTTTTCATGGAAGTAGCAATAGAGCAGCGAGAAGCTTGCAACATTTCGTCTGTGAGGAAGGGGTTGTAGGGTGGAAAATAATTCATTGCCTACAAGGACGCGGAGACGCTTTTGGACCCTATTGAAACTAGAAAATGAAGACTGGGCAACTTCTGTTCATTAGTACTCCATTTTTGGCCTGATCTGGTTGTTGTAAAGATAGAAGATAGCAAGAGGAGTGAAGTACTGTTATACTCCATTGTAATTAAATCTATTTCTGATTCATTCTGCATGCCAGCTGGATGTGAATGTCATGAAGGCAGAGAACAAAATAAACAAATTGTTCTCTGCACATGGTCACCACCCAGCTACAAGCCTTCGTTGTCACCGATGCTGTCACTTTGGTAAACCTGACTCACTACAACTTCTGATTATCCAACTTTGACACCACTCAGCTACAAGCCTTCCTTGTTGCCAATGCCATTGCATCAGCAAACACAACTCACTACAGTGGCTAACTACCCAGCCTTGACACCACCAGGCTCAAGACACCAACTGTCATGATTGATAACATCTCAATGTCAACACTACCTAGCTATATCCCTCCCTGTCATCAACACTGTCTCCTCAGCAAACACAACTTACTATAGTGACTCTGCAAGCAAGAAACTCCAACTCAGCAAGCAGGCAACTCCACAAACAAATGACACCAACTCTGCAAACAAGTGACTCTGGCTCTGTAACCAAGCTACTCCGACACAAAGTGACTCTGACTCCTAAAGCAAGTGACTTCAACTCTGCAACCAAGTGACTCTGAATTCACAAGCAGCAACTCTGCAAGCTTGCATCTCATTCGGGCTATCACCACTTCATAGAACACTGGTCAACCAGCTATACCAACCTCGCCACTTCGACAATCCACCGCCATCACCTTGGCATACCTGACTCACTATTTATTGAAGTTAAGCAACATTGAGCCTGTCATTGTCAGACTTAATGTTGCTTAACTTCAATAATCATATAAGAATTGGTTTTTCAACATGATATGGACAAAAGAGATTGAATAATATAATATTTGGATGTTGCCATTATCTAGAGGTTACTCAATTTGTACACTTCCGAAATTATACAAATTCGTATTAAGTATAAGGAGATACTGAAAATTGAGATTATCTCAAGAATCAATCATGTGGTTTTGATGAAACTTAACAACCTTACAAAGGAAAACTTGCTGCAAATGCAGGAATAGGCACTCTCCGATGGTGTTATTCAGTTGTCCATAAAACACCATTAGTACTTTTTGTACCGCTTGTAGAATATTAACTATCAAGATGAAATTTGATATTTTTTTACATTATTCAGTTCAACTGTAGTATAGCCGAACTCTCAATATAGTGAGATTAGGAAACTTGAGTCATGTTCTTTTTTTGTGCTGCCAACTATTACGATGTCAATTTTCATGTTGTATGGTCCTAGACATCCTTGATGACTTGGCTCATTATTTGCTGAAACTTTTCTGATGCTATGTTCACAAGAGACTTTTGTCTCTGATGAGTACTTCTGGTGTGGCAAATGTGATAATTTCTCTAGAATCAGGGTGTAGCTTTATTTGATGGTAGGCTATGTTAAAGTGGATCTTTGAGAAGTACTTTTCTCCAGTTATTTCCTGGATTGTTTCATCAATTGTTGGCATGGACAACAGCTTCATTAACTCTTCTCATGTCAACACATACCTCAACATCTTGTTTTCCTTCTTTATTACATTTTTTCTATTACTGGAGGATTAACCCATTTTTTTTTAGTTATAACAGTTTCAGGTAGGTGGAACTCGACAGCTCAGAAAGGCAGTGCATCTAGGGGAAGGAAAACCTTGATTTTAAACCTCTTGTGGTTATATCCAAAACAAGGAAAAGGCTATGGAAGTAAATCCAGATAGAAAACCTAGAATTGGAGCCCCAAAGGCGGTTAGCTGTCAACACTGATAACTTTCCAACATCTTCTGCAGCCAAACTGTCCTTAAATGTAGTGTCCTGTATTCCTTTGCATCTTGTCAATACGGCTGAGAGGTGGGGGTGCATGTAGTCTGGACAACTCATGGTCTTCACATGCCATTGCCCACAACTACTATAACCCATTGAGCAGGTTCTATAACACTCAATTACATCTAGGTTCACTAATTTTTGAAGTTTGTCAAGAGCAAACTACTGTCTGTTAAATGGAATCCTTTGTATTGGCTGAACAACTGGGGTGACATTTGGATCATTCTTAAGTTTCACCTAGTTGTCTTTTGAGTTTACCCTGTTCTGTATATACTTTCAGAAATTTTCTGCATAATTCCATACATAGATCTGTTTCAGAAAATATAAAATGCCAGAATTAATTCTAACTTTTAAAAGTTTGAGTTCTTTGCTGGTTCTAGGAGGAATGCTTGCACTTGCAGTATAACAAAATATGAAGCAGTGCCAGATCACTTAGTGTTAGGTATCTGTACATTTCTCTAAAAGCTGAAGAGTGTCCTTACCAGAATAGTGTTCAGCTTTGTGGTAGCAGGCTGGAGTTTGATTTCAGGTTTAGCATTTTTTTAGTTGCTGAAAATCTTCAACTGACAGTATGTTAAGATGGGGTCCTGAGTC